TGCACATGAGAACTGTTCTCTCTCGCTCTCTCTGCCTCTCTCTCTCTCTCTCTCTCTCTCTCTCTCTCTCTCTCTTGCGCGCTCTGAGCTCTCTCTGTAACTACATCTAGCCGGCTCCGGCTGTGCCATTGACATTGAATGTTTTGCCGTATTCTTTGCCCTGTTGCTATAGCACCCCGAATTGCATGTGTATTTGGCTAAATGCAGCTGCAGGTGTGTATGTATGTGCGTGTGTCCGTGAGTGCTTGCTGGCGTATTGATTTCATAGCTTGCTTGGCGGAATCCTATTTTCTTGCCAAATGTAGGTCAAGTCTAATTTTAGTGTAATGAGCCCAAGCATGAAATCTAATAAAAGAAATTTCAATTTCGTTTTGCTTATACGCATCTATATTAAAAATATTAAGTAAATTACTTGATCTGAAAAGTGTTTTTCTTTTCCTTGTCTAGGGAAATTGTAGACTGTAAACAAAATTACATCATTGTATATTATATATCGTTGTATATTATATATTTAACCATAATTTTTACTTTTGTCAGTATCTTCCCGGGTTCGACCAATATTGACATCTCATATGCAATCTAGCTTATGTATGTATACGTAATATAATCTTAGGGAAGTCAGAGCAAAACTGCTGATTTGAGCTGAGCTAATTTGAGCTGTTGACAGCTGCATTATTTACATGTGGCCATGCTTAACGATTCAATGTGTGCTTTAACTTAATACACATTATCATGGCTTTCGGTTATTTGCGAACTCTTATCAAAACTGGGTCGTTCATTGAACAAAGAATTAACCCCAAACTGTCAGTTAGGTGTTGTTAGGTATTACGTTTAATCGCATCGCTTACCATCAGTGAGATTAACGACCGACTGCAACTGCAATTGGATTTATGAAATATTTGTGCCAATTACCAATGCGGAACTTTGAGCTATATGTTACATATATGTACTGTACATATATACATATATCAGCTATATGAACTATAGTTAAGTTCGACCCACTCTTATGGCTTGATCGCTGACTCAGACAACGCGGCAAACGCTCAATCGAATTAGGCGTCGAGAAAACTCTTTGACGATCGGCGATCGACTGGAAAAAACAGTTCATTTCACAATTAACCGCAATTGCGTGAGATTCGATTTAATAAATGCTATTTGTCGGCATGTTAGGTTCATTCACAATTAAACAATTGGCAAAAAAAAAACACTAAAATTTTTTAAAGCAAACGAGGTGTCGAAGAGCAATTACCTCTTGCGGTCTATAGTTGCATAATATGATATTCGTATCTGCTGAGATATTAGATATCTTCAAATGCATTGATTCCTATGCAGCAATTCAAATTTCAGTGGAACTTGATAATTTATATATGCATATGATAATACAATATATTGAAAAGCTGAGCTAAAATGAATTGGTTTTTTATTTTGCATATTATTAACATAGTTTTTTATATTTTTAATGAAACTGTTTCTCAGCTCAAATTACAATTTTGAATTATAGCACTATAAACTTTCAGAAATGATTTAAAATGAAAAAATCTTGAAAATCTTGAGTCTTGAAATTTTGAAAATAAACGAGAAATTTTTAAAAAGCTCCTATCGGCTAAATAGTTTATTTCTGAGAGCTTTCACTAGGGTGTGCAATAAATTAAAATGAAATAAAACTCGTTTAAGATATATTAACCAACTATTATAATTTTTATACATGTGTACATACATACATAAATACTAATATCTCTTCTGATAGTTCAGAGAGTTTTCATTTACTCCTAATAAATCCAAATTAAATAAAACTTGCTTAAGATATATAAAAAGAAACTTTTATAATTTTAATACACACATACATATATGCATACTGATATTCACCTCTTCCTCTGCAGCGCTGGTTGGCTCGCTGGCTATTGGCACCACATTCTTCTTGTCGCCTGTCGCTGGCTGTCTGACGGACAAGATTGGCCTGCGTCTGACCACCTTTATTGGTGGCATGCTTGCATCTGGCGGACTGTTGCTGTCATCCTTTAGTACAGATAATATCAATTCCTTGTACTTTACGTATGGCATCATGTTTGGATTGGGTGGTGCCTTGGCCTACACGCCCACGCTGGCCATATTGGGGCACTATTTCAAGCGTTACCTGGGCAAGGTGAGCGGCTTTGTGACGGCGGGATCAAGTGTGTTCACTGTTATACTGCCACCGGGTCTGGACTGGCTGCTGGGCAGCTATGGACTGGAGGCAACGTTGAGGGTGAGTAGCTCCATTAATTCATTAATTGATTTGCATTTTATTCAAGTTGATTTTAACTTGCAGATCATGAGTCTTATGGCTGCATTTATTATCGTCTGCTCCTTTGTGTATAAGCCGCTGCATTTGCCCCTGCACGTGCCCAAGAAGATCGGACGCTCTCGCTTGGCTGTGCTTATGCGTTCGGTTATCAATGTGGAGATCTGGAAACGCAAGCGCTATGTCATCTGGGCGCTGTGTGTGCCATTGGCTCTCTTTGGGTACTTTGTGCCCTATGTGCACATGATGAAGTTTGTGGAGGCCTCGTTTCCCGGCCACGATGTCAACTTGCCCGTCATGTGCATTGGCGTCACCTCTGGCATTGGCCGTCTCATCTTTGGCGTCATTGCCGATATGCCCGGCGTGAATCGAATGTATCTGCAGCAGCTGTCGCTGGTCTGCATTGGCTTGGTGACTCTGCTGCTGCCCCTGACCAGCTCCTATGTGCTGCTCGTCACCTTTGCTTTGGTTATGGGTCTGTTCGATGGCTGCTTCATCTCCTTGTTGGGTCCGATTGCCTACGAGATCTGTGGACCGTCGGGCGCCACACAAGCCATTGGCTTTCTGCTCGGCCTCTGCTCGCTGCCCCTGACCATTGGGCCGCCCGTTGCCGGCATGATATTCGAGCGTACTGGTTCGTATACGCTGCCATTTATACTAGCTGGACTGCCGCCTCTGCTCGGCTCCTCGATGCTGTTCCTCATGCGTTGCGTTAAGGATGAGGACGTGGCCAAAACTACAAATGGAGTCGCAGGCCAAAAAAATGGCGACATTGAGAACTCTTCCAATGGCGATTATCGCCTGAGTGGTCTGTATTTAGTTATATATGTGTTATATATTTGTATAAAGCTTTAATTGATTTCGGTTATTTTTTCAGCTGTCAAGTCGAGTGCTCCACTGATGGGCCCCGGCGAAAATGGTGCCTCCAATGGTTATGCTTTAACCAACGGCTCAGCAAGTGGTGCGTATTACATCAATAAATTGCTATATGAACCTTCTTTAACTATATATGTATATATTGCATGTTCAGCTGCCAAGTCCGTAGGCTCGACTGACCATCCGAATGGTCTCAATGGACATGCCAATGGGCATGTGGATGGGACAGATCCCACAACTGGTTTGTACACTGAATCTCTAAGCCCACCCAGCAACGACTTCGGTCAACGCCTCTCTAGTATTACTGCCTGCTGCTCTGCAGATATATGCATTCATCCCAGTAGCTCGACTAACACCTATTATTCGAAACCCATCTCATCTCACACTGCTTTGCTTAATCGCAGCTCGAGATCTCAAAGCTCATTTGATGATTTCAGCAAGCGCCATTATAAATATTCAATTTATTGAGCTCGTATTTGATATCTTCAAACTGGTTTTGAGAAAATTGTTAGCTGTTAATTATTAATTAGTTGGTTAGAAAGCTCTTAAACTTTCATTGTAGTTGTGATACTGGTACTTTTGTTTCGTTTTTATATTTATAAGACTGGCCTTTGTAATCGCAGCTAAGCATCGATCTAATTTGAGGGAAACATTTATATTTCCAGAATGATCCATTCATCCTTGTTGCCAAACTCACTCACGCATTTGCATCCATTCGCCCCACTATTTTGTATTTCATAGTAGAGATAAGCGCTTTTAGATCGTAAGCTGCACCGAACTATCTTATGTAAATAAATAAATGCAACTAAATTTATAAGATTTTAGCATGTATGTACATATATGAAATGCAGTTGATTGCAGTGTATTTAAGTTTGCTTTGTATATTTGAATGGACATCATGTGCTGCTGCATGGAGAAGTTGTAGTTGTTCAGCTATTGGATTTCATTAACTAACTTTGATAATCATGTAAATCTTTCAGAGAAACTCACCGACACGCCGGGATCCTAGACAAAGTCGCTGTCGTCTACTCAAAACTCAAAATTCCACACAAAACTTTACCATTGAAAATTTTCTGCCATTTTAAATCTATGATCATATCGCTAACCAGCATAAACAGATAGAGAAAGAGGGAAGGAGAGAGAGAGAAGTGTTCATTTCATTTTTTGACTACTGTACATAGTGGGACGATGTACAAATATTATGACGAGACCCTCTGTTGGAGAGACTCCTGTACTTGTAATACTTATTTTTGCATAAATGTATACTAATTTAGGCTAAGACAAATTGAAAAATTTGCAAAATAAACAAACGAAAATTATAGAAAACAAAATGAGTATTTTTCTCTATCTTTAATAAACTATAAATATTTAACAATTCGATACTATTAGGAACAATCAACGAACTATATTACGCGACAAGCAGCCACAACATGAAAGTTATATAGCCATCAAATCTGCCAACGGGTTATACAATTCAAATTTCGTTTAGCACGCGTACCTGACTGGAATTGGACAATCGGTGACGTCGAGTAGTGCTCATACAGCTCGTTGACTGTTAAATATTAGTGTTAATTAAACCGATTTGTATGCGGACACTAATTAAATAGATTCCAATGAACAAAAATAAAACAAATACAATTACTTGATATCTTTGTTGGGTTCATTGATGCGTACCTTCACTTCATCAATATCAATATGATTGCGACGTTTCCTAGCGATATGTTTTTCGGTGGGAGTCGGTCAAGTCACGATTCGGCTATACACCCGACAATATATACGCATAGATCACGCGGCCTTAAAAAGTTCGAGCATCCGGCATATAAAAACGGGCTGAACACAACAAATTTTTTGATTATTTATATCGACGTTCAATTGGTCGGTCGATCGGCGGCTAATCAAGGCTCTCTAAGTGGATCGGAATACCTGAATATGTTGACGTGGCAATTGTGGGGTGCATTGTTGCTCGTGTTGTGGCTCTACTTCTTGTGGACGCGTCGCAGATTCTATCTGCTCACACTTAAGATACCAGGCCCACTGGGCTACCCCATCGTTGGCATGGCTCATAAGCTGATTCGCAGAGAAAGTGCGTGTTTCACTCATGCGTTTTGAAAATTTTAAATGATATATGTGTGATATATGTATGTGAATTTATTAGATGTGCTGAATGCAATTGGCTTCTATTTGGATAAGCACGGACCAACAATTTTTTCATGGCTGGGTCCTTTACCATTTCTGATTGTGGCCGATCCCCAAATTATACAGGATATATTTACATCGCCGCACTGCGTCAACAAAGGCATCATCTATAAGGCGGTCGACGATGGAGCTGGCTTGGGACTTTTTAGTTTGACAGGTTAGCAAAATGAGCGATGGATATAAAAGAAAATATATCTGACCACCTCACAGATCCTCGTTGGAGTGTGCATCGCAAGCTGTTGAATCCCACATTTGGACACAAGGTGCTGCTCAGTTTTCTGCCCATTTTCAACAACGAGACTGGAGCTCTCCTTAAGCAGCTGGACACATTAGTTGATGATGGCGAAAAGGATCTGATACCTCTGCTGCAAGCCTTTACGATCGGCATTGCTACGCGTAAGTTGTATATTTCCTTCGGGGATTCTAAAGCTGACTAGCTTCTCCAAGCACAGAAACAACAATGGGCAGCGACGTGAAAGCCATTTCGGATATTAATAACAATCAGCTGCTGGAGGATTATCAATGGTAAGTTATATCTGTCATGTGAGTGGATGTGTTTTCCTATCCATTAATAGTGTTTTGGAAACCATGACAGACATGTGCTTTTCGCCATGGCTTAGCTCTCGAACAATACGCCAGCTATTTGGCAAGGAAAAGCGTTACGCGATCTCCAAGTCAAGGATAAGGGGATTTATTAGAAAGGTAAAACCAGCCGACTTATGGCAATTAACAATAGATTGTTCATTAGAATTCGTCTTCCAGCTGATTGAAAGAAAACTGGCAAGGGATGCAGAGGTCGGCGATACGGTTAATCAGTTGCCTTCAGATAAAAATATATTTCTAAATCTAGCTACGGATCTCTTGAAACGCGGAGTATTTACCTGGAAAAATGTGGAGGATGAATCGAGTGTAATTGTTTTTGGTGCCTTTGAAACAACAGCTAACACTGTTGCCTACACATTAATGTTGCTCGCAATGTTTCCCATGTACCAGGAGAAGGCATTTGAGGAGATTCTCACTTTGTTTCCCGACTCTGGGGACTTTGAAGTGACCTATGAAGATATACAGCAAATGGTCTATCTGGACCTTATTATAAATGAGTCAATGAGAGTGATGCCGCCTGTGCCGATCGTATCCCGGCAAACGTCGGAGGATTTGTTGCTCTCGAGCGGAGTTATTGTTCCGAAGGGCGTTCAAATTGCAATTAATATTTTCTACTTGCATCGCAGCAAGCAAATTTGGGGCGAAGATGCGGAAACATTCAATCCGGACCACTTTTTGCCCCATAATTTGCAAAATAAACATCCATACGCGTACATACCTTTCACAAAAGGCATACGGAACTGCATAGGTAAAAATCAATTTATCCAATATCACATGCAACTATTAAATAATAAAATTTTGTATATTATTAGGTTGGAGATATGCGTTAATTTCAGCAAAAATTACCCTGGCTAAATTATTAAGAAACTTCAAATTCTCAACTAGCTTTAATTTCGAAGATCTTTATTTCGTTGAGGATATAACGATAAAACTTAAAACAGTGCCACAACTGAAATTAGAGCGGAGGACTTTATAGCTTAAAACATGATGAGAAATAGAAGTAAAAAGCTATGTTAAGAAGTCATTATAATTTGCGAAAGATTTTTATTGTTATTTGGCTAATAAATATATGAAGTTTTATTAATTTGATTAATGCGCTTCTTACATTATTCACAACTGAAAGTAACTGGCGTACTTGCTTTGAATATTGCCGCAACATATCGATAGATTTCAGTGTTGAGTAACGCTGCTGTTGACCAAAATGAGTACTTTTGAGCAGCTATCGTGCGCGTATATCGGTATTTGTTGTCAGATTGCCGGCTGCCGCATAATAGTGTCAATATTTTTTAATTGTGCCGCAATGACGCTCACAGATGTCTTGGAACTCAATAAAACAGAATTGTTTACGAAAATACGTACTGTCCTGCCGATAGTGACGCAAACACAGAATTTGTTGGACTGCAAGGATGATTTGTTGTACGCATGGAACTCTGTCGATTCGTGCTTGTTGGTCACAAATTGGCGCGTCGTATTGCTTCAGGCAGAGCCAAAACGTGCGAAAATAAGCTATCAAACGCTAATTCCATCAAATGCGGTTGGCCTGCAGGTGGATCGTGTTGTGGTTTCTAATGAGGGCTCGCTTGTCGCGCTGTGTGGCCCACAAAATGTGACAATATTGGAAGTACCACGCCGCAGTGGGCCCGATGGCTATTTAATGGATGGCAAGCCACAAATCACGTGCCGCTCATACAATCTGGATGTGCTCCTCTTTCAAAACAATCCACAACTGGAAGTGTGCCAGGTGCGTTGGCATCCCGATTCTGTCTCCGACTCCACGCTTTTGGTGCTGCTCTCCAACAACACAATGCGCGTCTACAATCACGCCAAGCTGCGTCATGTGTGGAAAGTTGGTCCGTACACAGTTAAGAAAGGCGCCAATACCTCACTTTCCGACTTTGGTGAGACTTCCATTGACTTTGACATTGCGCCAGCAGTTAAGATCAGCGCCGCCGCTAGCGACGAAACAACCAATAACTCTACTCTCAATAGCACCAAAACCCCCAAAGAGAAGGTGGAGTGGCCAATCGTTATATTGCGTGAGAATGGAAATGTTTATGTTTTACTCACTGGCATCGATTCGGACATAACTCATCTGCAGGGTCCCATTACCTTAACACCACAGACAAGCTCCAACTATGGCGTTGAGTCGTGTGCTTTGCTGATCATACCATCTTTGCCTCCCACTGTGATCATTGCGGAGTCAACGGGCAGACTGCATCATGCTCTTATGCTGGAGGCTGAGACTACGGAGCGTTCGCTTAACGATGCGGATGACGGTCTGCTTATCGAGCCATCTCAGTGGACTCTCCACGTAACGGAAACCGTTGAGCTTGAATTGGGCCTATCGGCGTCAGCTCCCAATAGTACGGGCAACGCCTATAGCTGCCCCATACATCTGAAGCGAGATGTGGTCAACGAGATGCGATACTTTGCCTACCACAACGCTGGATTGCATATTATTACTGTTAACTTCATTTCCGAGTTGCAGCGCTTCTTGGATAGCGAGGCCGAGGACAATCAGCTGGAGTTATCGACACCTTCCTGTGCTGAATACATATTGTGCACTAAGTTCGATTCTAGTAATCGCATCAATCCTGTCATTGGCATCGCCTTGATGCAAATGCCATCCGGGCTCGTGCTGTTGCTGGGCAGCGGTCAAGTCATCAGCCTTAAGCTGGTCATTGATGCGCAACTGCTGATGACGTCCAAAAAGGAATTGCAGCTGACTGCCACGGATGCTGCGCTGGATGAGCAGGGCTTGGGTCCCTCATTCGCGGAGAAAATCAAGACAATGCTGCAGCGCACCGTAAATCAGCCGATTCTGGCTGACAAAATGGCCTCGTCCTCCGCACATGAACGCTACGAGCTGCTCAACCAGGCCGTTGAGGTGCTGCGTACCCAATACCTCAAGCGCCATGAGCTGGTGCGCGCGGAGTTTACCAAGCACATCAAGTGCATTAAGCTGCAGAAGCAACAGCAATTGCAGGAGATTAAGAGTCTGGAGAATGAACGAGAGATCATAAGCGAACGGGCGCACAAGCTGGCGGAACGCTTCGAAGAGATCAGCGATAACCAGGAGCTACTCGTGCGCCGTTGCCAGAAGCTAATGCAGCTAGCCAACTCAGTGCTGCCCAACAGCATTGTGGCCGAGCGAGAGTTTGCCCAGGAGGTGGGACGCATCGACAAGGCTACCAAAGCCATTGCCGCTGCATTGGACACGGCCAAGAAGACGTACAACAAGCAACGCTATCACATCGCAAAGTCGGAGGGGACGAACGCGAGCAATGCCTACCAGCTGCCAGAGAGACAGCAACGCACCATCACCGAGATTCTGACTCAGCTCTCGAGTGAGATTGATCGTCAGATATCAGATGTGAAGCGAATAAATAAGATTGTCGGTCTATGAGCAGCCTTATGAGCGAATAAGTTAATTTTGTATTTGTGCTATTGTTAACAATTAAAGCAACCTTCTAGTATATATGAGTAAACAAATACTTATTCCTTGGCTAAGGTATTGTCGGTTATCCAGAATAAGTTCCTTAAAACCATTCTTGGACACATTTATCCCAAATTTGATTTATTTGTATTAGCACCTTCTCCTATTTGTGTGTCTGTCTCGGCTGCTTTAGTTTCAGACATTTACTTTTACATAATGTACATATAAAAAGTTTTAGTGTTATCGTATATATGTTGAACCTCGATCCAAAACGGAATGCGAAATTTGCATGGCTAATGACTCGAATATATTTATATAGCTATGTAGGAGAATTAACATTTGTATTTGCGTTTCAGTCTAAGTTTCAGTTGCAAGCGAACTTTTTGGAGTCGACATCGAGCTCAGGTGCTATCCACAGCCATGGCATCTATATTTCTCAGATTGGCAACAATCTGCACTAAGATGTCCAACTATATCAAAACAAACTCACCCTTTGTGATTGAGGCGCTGATGGTAACAATCTGCTTTGGTGCCATAATAAGCAGATATATAATAATTACCTAGGTGAACGACACATACTATACATATGTACATATATGTATAAATCAATTGAATCGACGCATGTAACAATAAAACGATCGTATCTGAATCTTCCTCTAAATAGAACTAATATTGTATTTGTGTTTGTGTGTGTGTGCACGTGATTGAAGATTTAACTTAAACTCTAGGCTTCTCGATCACATGAATATAGAATGCTGGATTCTGCACTACATTCATGTCCTTGAAGTCGCCATATAGCTTGTGCTTGGCCTGGCTGCCGAAGATTTCGGCAAGGATCTCCGTGAAGCGCTTCAGCTCATGTGGATAGTACGAGAGCCGGAATTCGCTGGACAGCTTGTTGCCCTCGATCTGGTAGTCCATGGATACCAGAGCGGGTTTCCCGCAGTAGAACAGAACGGATGTTTTGATGTCAGCCGTGTGGCTTGTCTACAAAAAAAAAAAAAAAAAAAAAAAAACAAAAGTAATTCACAAGTGCAAGTCATTTGAAGGGGCGATTAAAACGCGGATGATGATGATGATGATGTTGATGTTTTTACAAAATAGTTTTTGTCTATTTAAAGTTATCAGTGAAACCGTGAATGACTGGGCATATTGAGCACCCCAAGTGAATGAGATGTGTCGTTTAATTGTTTTTAATTGGCATCAAATAATCGCATGCAAAGTGTTTTACTTACGTTATAGTAAATGCTCTTGGCGGGCGTGGCGCCTGTCTCCAGGATGTTGTCATAGTTGCGATGATCGATCAGCAGGATGCCACCTGGCTTGAGGCACTTCTCAAAGTTCTTGATCGCCTGCTTGTGCTCGCGCTGATCTCCGAAACTGTCCATCAAATGGGCGAACGAGTTGCCCAGGCAAATGACAGCATCGAAGCCGACGTCCAGATGCTCCTGGATATCGTCGTACAGAGTCAGCCAGTTGGCCTCCTCAATAACTGTCAGATTGACAAGATTGGGTCAGATCTGACTCAATATATCTAGGACAACTATCTTAATACTCACCCCATTTGTCGAAGGCGGCCTCGTTGCGGCGATTCCAGCGCTCCTTGAGCGCGTATTTCAGCATCTTGTCCGAGGCATCAACGGACATCACATCGAAGCCCTCTTCCAGCAGCATTATGGAGTCCACTCTGCAATTATTTAACATATAAACATTCACATCTAAATTCACTTTGTTGTGCCTCTGGCTTACCCAGTGCCGCAGGCGACATCGAGAATGCGTTTGCAGCCCTTCTGGCGCAGCAGATCCACCAAGAAGTTCTTGTAGTTGTCGGTGCGCGAGTTCTTATCGCCGATGAAGATCTCCCAGACCTTGGCTGCCTTGCCATCGGCATACTGATCGCGCACTCCTTCGGCCGAGATACCTTCCGATCGGGTTACGAACACACTGTCAGCGGAGGTAGTCATTTCAAGTGTTTAGCACTGGGCAGCAGATCAAACTGAATTAAGTTTTCGTGGCGAATCCACTCGCCATGACATCTCCGGCGGGTGTTTTCAATCACAAACAGCTGGCAAGCCACACACCGACACTCGCACACAGCCACACATCCCCGTAATCTTATCAAGGCACTTCTAGATTGACCCGTGCTAGCAACGGTTCCACCAACATCAACATCTGCTCCAACCGTACACGTTCCGCTTTTTTCCTTTTTTCGATTTTGATTTTTTTGCGACCTGACACTGACCTCGTTGTGATTAGTGATTAGTGATGACAGTGCCTAAAAATAATAGAAAAYATTATTATTATTATTTGGCAAAAATACGTCATGCCATTTACATACAGTTACCAAAGCAGAGGCGCCCTATCATGTGATACTACACTCTAATCAGACAGACAACTGTATAGGCTTAATATGTTCAATTATATGCTGAAAGATAATTGTAATTATTGATGAGTTAAGAAATATTTGCTGAACAATATTCAACTCTTTTCTTTTTTTGGGGCTTAATCTTAAGCTTCTTGTATTGGCTTTAAATGATATGTTTGAGTATATATTTATTTCTCTTTGGCTCTACCGAATCAAGACATAGAGACTATTTAACTGCGGTCTCAGATAGGGTTAATTGAAAGAGGAGTCCACACGACAGTTGAAAAAAAAAAAAAAAAATTATTAGGGTAAATTAAAGATGGCGTTTTCTTATTTTCTAGTATTGTAAGACTGACTCTTACCTGGTCTTTCGAATGCAACACCTATGTTTAATAGTATTCATTCAAATTGTAGATCTAATTTTACTATATTTTTTTTTAATGACACGAAGCCTCACTCAAATCCCAAATCGATGCCACGAATAGTCATGAATACTTTCGGAATATTTCTCACCCTAAATTTCGTGTTAGTCATATCGTTCCTTCTACTGAATGTCTACTATATAAGGCAAGCTAACCACCGTTGAATTAAATAAATGCTTCGAAAATCTGCATATAAGTTCGTTTTTATTTCAAATAGCTTAATAAATATTGCACTGCGTTGAAAACTAGGATTATGTATAGTATATAGTATATAGTATATATGTAGGTATATAATTTAAGATGGTATTCGTATTGCACCACGTTGCTCAGTTGAAATTGAAAGTCTTAGGGAGTTCGTCGATATATTTATAAATAGTATACAATTTGAATAATAATAATAATAATCATAATGTTAGTAAATGATTACGTTTCGCAAGATAATTAATTATATGTAGCTCGCGTGGCTTTAATTATCTTGGGAAACATAAGCTGTCATTAAAGTTAAATCGAGATGCTTATTAGCTATATGCATACATATGTATGTGTGTGTTGTGTGTGAGTATGTGTGCTTAGTGGCTAGCTAAGGGATTTGAGTATTCTATTAAAATTCTATGGCAAATACCCCAGTGAGTCCTCGAGCGAGGCGCTCACTGCCCGCATGGATTGGTAGCTGGCCATGCGGCTCCTGCTCACATTGCTGCGTATCGAGGCGGCCTTCTCCAGCGCCTTGATGTTGATCAGCAGATCGTCGGCGCTGCACGCCTTCTGTGCGGAGTTCATGTGCAGTGGGGGCGCTAGGGGCATAATCATGGCACCGCCATTGCCCAGACGATCCGTGCTGAAGGATTCGCGCGCTCGGTACAGGGAACGGCGTGCGGAGACACTCGAATGGCAGCTGCCATTGCTGGCACGCCCATTTAGCTTCTGGCTGTTTATCATCGGCGGGCAGAGACTCTTGATGTCCGTCGTCTGGCTGAGTTTCATGTCCGCAAACACGGCCGCAGCCTCCACGCTCTTCTTCACGCTGAGCGCCTCATGCGGCTGCACGGGCTTGCTGTTGCCGCCGATCGTAAAGAGCTCATAGTCCAGGCCCAGCTTCTCCGACGACTTGCTCTTCCGTGGGGATGCACGCGACTTGTGCTGCGGACTGAGTGAATCCTCGCTGATATTGGCCGCTGCCGCATTGGCGCGCTGCCGGCGATGGCTGCGCTTGCAGTAGCACTTGCTGGCACTGATGCAGCTGTCCGTGTCGCACCAGGTGGTCGTGTCCGAGTGCGTGTTGCCCGAGTCGTGCTCGAGCGTGCTGTTGGGCTCCTCCTCCACCATGGAGCAGTAGCACTTGTCCTCCGACTTGCACGATATCAGCGAATGGCGATTGCCGGCTGCTCCAGCATTGCCGGCCGTAGACTTTCGGCCGTTGCCCATGGCCATGTTGCGCTCGTTCTTCTGGCGCAGCTTGTGGTTCAGATGCTCCGTGCGCAGACTGCAATAGCAGCGATCAGCCGAGGTGCAGGTGCACGATTCCGAATCGTAGCTGCACTCTGAGCAGGAGACGTAACTATAAATGGAGTAAGAATGAGAGAGAGGGAGTGAGAGACTTATTAGCAGGCATTCAACAGTCATTGTGGACAACTCTGTAGACGTTGACTCACCCACTGCTGCTGTTTCGATTGAGTCCCTGCAGTGCGTTCTCGTTGCGCACGACGGACACATCAGAGCCGCTGGTGGTCGCGCGATTGCGTTGATGCTGCTGCGCATGGCTCTGGCTGGTGGGTGGACCAATGACAATGGGTGGTGTCAGGCGGCGCTTGTTGGAGTCCGCACTGCCAGACTGTGACTCCTTGGCGCGTGCCGGCTTGGCCAGCTTGCCGCGACAGGCGCGAAACTGTCCCAGCTGAAACACCTTCTTCAGGCTCTTGGTGCCAAAGAAGATGCTCTTGGATTTCTTCTGCAACAACTTGGGTTTAGTTCCTCATCTGCGAGTGGTGCGCAGCAGCTTACCTGTGAGCCACCGATGCTGGCTTTGCGCTTCTGCTTCTTCTTCTTCTGGCGCCGCATTATGTTCTTGGAGCGCTGAAAGAGCTCATCCTGTGTGAGCGTCACGGCCAGCTTGAGCAGAAACTCCTTGTAGATGGGCTTCAGGTCGTTGAAGGACATGCCATCTGCATCGATAATGGCATAGAGTATCTCGTCCAACGAGTGCAGGTTCTCGTGCAGCCGAAATTCATTGAACAGTTCACTGAAACCAAGTGGGGAACTAGAAGCACAATTCAAACGATGCCAATCAACCAAACCAAACCTTTTCACCGAGGATGCAAACAATGTTAGGCCAAACCGCAGGCCAGCGTCAGCTTGGATGACTTGGATAGCTAATGAGATACCTGAGCTGTCGCTGGCCCCGTTGGTTAGTATTAATACTCACCCTCCTCCACCGCCCAATTTGCCGGAGTTGGTGCGGCGCGCCGCTCTCGACTTGTACCTGGTCAGTCCGCCGGTGTTCAGGAAGCTGCCCGATCTGGGTATGGCCACACGGGTTAGTATATCGCCATCGCCGGCCGCAGCCACGGCGCTCGCGGCGACCAGGTCGCTGATCTTGCGACCATTTGCACTGCCGTTCGGTGTAGGCGTAGAGGGCTTCTTCAGGTGCCCATGGGCATGGCCCAGGCGATTGACATGGCCATTGGTGCACACAATGCTGTTGCTGCGCCCCGAGCCGCTCTTGAAGCCGCCCACATTCGGCGCCGGCACAGGCGGCGCCCGTTTCGTCTTGTGCGACTTGCGTTTGCGCTCCTCCGTCGAGGTCTCGATCTCGGCCGCCTCGTTGATCACGTTGCTGTTCGAGCTGAGCGAGCTGCTCGAGACCCGCTTCTTGCGCGTCGACCGCGAGGGCGTCGACCCGCCCACGCCCATTGGCTTGGGACTCACGCCCGACAAGCTGCCGCCGCTGCTGCGAAACGAGCTGCGCCGGCCACTCATGCTGGGCGCTATCTGTGACCTGGACAGGTAGTTGGAGCTGGTCATGGCCGAGCTGCTAGCAATGCTGACGCAGCTGACTCCATTCTGCTGCCGAGGCGTGCGTCGCTTGGTGCTCCTGTGCGAGCTGGTGCTCACGTGCGCCATCAGGCTCTGGTAGAGCGTCGCCGCAATCACAATGGCATCCTCAGTGCTCTTGCAGATGAATCCGTGGCATTCCAGTATCTTCGGAGCACTCGCCGAGCGCATGACCACCGCAAAGATGGGAGCGTGCATGTGCTCGCTTTGCTCCACAGCCAATTGCTCCATGGCGCTGCGAACAGATAATTGAGAGCTTTATCACACAAGAGATATAAAGGGAAATGAGAATTTTCCAGAATGAAAATGGACAAGTTTCACGGGAGAAACTTTTTTGAATGTAAATCATGCATATATGTATGTAATCAAATATCTATATATCTTATGTCTTGGCAACTTCTGTGCTCACCTTAGCGGCTGGAATAGTGCAGTCTTGTCTATGTTGTCGGGGTCGGTGATGAGCGGTAAAAATGCCGCGCCTCCATCCGAGTCGGAGATGACGAATTTCACTGCTGACCACACGGCGATATTATGGAATGGTGTTATATTCGAATCGCTGTCCTCTTTGCTCGTGTCGGACATGGCGCTGATCTTAATGCGCAATCCTGTGGCACATATATCCAAAGATCCTGATTTCAGCTTCTGCAAAGGCAATCGTATTAGCTGTGGCTATGCTGGTGCATGTTGAATCTCTCACCTTGTTCGTAACCTCAGCCAGGTACAGCTGACGCAGTGGCTCCTGCAGGCCCTGTAAGCTGGTCACCTTGTCCTTGAGCGGCAAGCAGCCGAGGCACGTGACATCGAAGCTATTCGTGGCATCCTTGGCCACGTCGGTGAAGAGCTGCTCGATCTGTGCCTGCACGCTGTTGCTGATGCGCTGCACATCATTCTTGGCCGCCTCGGCCAGCACCTTGGCCGAATCGCTTGACTCCTGCAGGAAGCTGCTCAGCGATCGCGGCTTGTCGCCTGAGGTGCTGGCCAGCTCACTACGTCCATACATGATGATGGAACGTGTGCGGTGCGATCCTCGGGGATCGTCGAGGCGGCTGCTACGCATTGATCTAAATTCGAGAGAAGGGGAATAGTTTTARGTAATTTACTTTTAAATATATACATATATTGCAGAAATATGCCCAAGATAAAAAAATATATTTATATATACGAGCCCAAACCACTATTAATTCGAACAGCATGTTTTTTTTTGCAGTGCGCAATGTTTAACACAATATATTGTCAATACTACTAAAGATAACACATACCAATTCATTTCGTCTTAAAGATAATTTTATTCTCTTCACGATGAAAAAAAAAATAATGATCTCTTTCCAACAACAACAAAAATATGAGTAATTTACTAAAACGGTATACTTAAGAGATAAGAAAAAATTGACCACTATTAATTCGAATGCTGCGTAATGTGATTTACTATCATACTCAAAGCAATAATTTAATTAATATTAGAATTGTGTAACGTCGCCCTTGGCCTGAATTACACATTTGACTCGTTTTGGCATTGATTTTAACAAAGTTTTGCAATNATAGATTTTTAAGTACATGCATTTAGTATTTACCCCTGATGCTATATATACAATATCTATATATTCAAACATATATGTACATATATATAATATATATACTAAATAATGCACAAGTAAACTCTTTTACTTTTCCGATGCAAAACAGTCTGCTAATATTGTAAGAGTTTTTAAGTGGTTCTCTCACATGTGCGACAAACGTTGAAAAGTTTTGTGAAAGTTTTGCTGATTAACTCAAATGAGCCACTAAATTTTGCAGATAGATGCATATTAGTGTGTGCGTGTGTGTTAGTACATATCCGTATACATATGCACAGTTCACAGATATACGCACGTACAAATATGTATATTGGCTCGTTATGAATTGCCAATTGGCCACGACAATCATCCTGCTGGAAGAGAAGGGAGCCAGCGAGTTTTTGGAAACAGATGGTAATCTAACGCATAATGGCACATTGTATACCCACTCTGACTCGGGCAGCAGGTCTGGCACAAAGAATGGATCTGACGGGCTATGTTCCCAATAGAAGAAACCATTCCGTTTACCGCTAGCTGACACCAAATCGGAAATGTTTCATTTGGGGAGAACGTTGGCGACGCCAACTACTTTGAATATGAATAGAGATGGGGCCGCCGCCAGAGCTGCGTTCGATCAGCATCGGATGCGAATGGATCAAGTTTTCTTTATTTACACTGTAGTGGAGAGTATGTTCACTGTGCCTCTTATTAAATCATAGACAAACAAAATGTTTTACTGAGAATGAAACTGAGGTTCGAAAAGAACTTTTACTTTAGTTCATATATTATATATTTATATATTATATATTTCTATTCAGTCGTAAATTGAGATTTTGTATTTATTTTAAAAATAGAGCTTCATCAACGGCTTTTATCAAATCATGCGTAACTACAGAATTATTAAATATATTCTATCATAATTGAACTTCTAAGGCATATAACTAATAGAGTATCTAATCTTCGGCTGACTCTGAACACAGCCATACTTTCTGCTCATTTTTTTTTTATTATAATCAATTATGTAGTTCACTAGGCGAATGTGTGTCGCTGCGATCGATGAATATTTATACATTGGAGCAAGTGTCGGTTCAAATATGTTGTCTATAGCTGTTGTCGCTTCTCATTCATTCACAACAGACTCTGCTTCTTCCTCTCCGTCTCTCTCTCTCTCTCACTCTCTTTCCCACTATCTTCGGTTGTATCTGTAAAGCTTTGGCTTTGTAACTGTATATTTGTTGCCTATGGAAATTGGAAACGGTAAAATAAATGTTGGATGCTGCGACAGGTGTGTGTGTCTGTATGTGTGTGTGTATATTTGTCTAAAATTTTGTCGTTTATTTTGTCAGTTTCGAGAACGAAAGTGTCTAATTTGTTGCAGCTGAAAGTTGACTTAGATATAGGTAAAGCTAACACCAATTTTAGTTTTTGAGCATTTAAGAATATCCGAAAACTGAAAAGCTAGGAGGCAACCATATTTGGAGCATTTAACACTCATTATATAAGAAGTGGGTTTTTGCAAAATCAATCGACAAACTTTCAAAAAATTGTTCAAATAAAAGAGTTTTGTTTTTTGAAAATAATTGATGATGTTATGCATAGTTTATATCAAAGAAAAAAAAAAAAAAGGAGAAAATATTTAAAGTCTAAGCAAACGGTGTTTGACTATCTCTCGCTTTTTAGACCTTTGTTATTTTTTGACAAATACATGATAAACCTTGGCTACTAAGAGCTAATAATAAAATATTCTAGTGCCAGACAAAGCCGGGCTGTGCTTTCTAATCTTTATATTAGAAATACGGTAAATATAAACATCATTCGATAGAATTATAGTAATATTTGAATATAATGCCTTGGACACTCACCTGGAATCGTCAAACATTAGATCGATTTTGAGTTTGTATATCGAATTTCGACTGACACTCGAGTTGTTCTCGAGCTGATCGCCGTCCAGAAGTCGAAAGCCGGATGAGTTGCTTTTACTGCTGCTGCTGGCTGGTTTGCGGGAGCGAACCGAATTCATGTTGGGCACAGCCAGAGCGGATTGGGAGTCGATCTTGCAGGAAGTGACCATCATCAAGTGTGGTGGTGTAGTAGTAACAGTGACTGGGACAGTGACTGGAACAGTGACTGGCTGCAGTGACTGCGGCGCATGCCAGTTAAACGCACCTATTGGCAGTTTGTTTGTTTCGTTTGTTTATTTCTGCTTCTGCTTCCTCTTCTTCTGGTTATATCTTTTGTAATTTGTGCTCAATTAGCGGCAAATGAATTCCAATTATGCACATTGAATGTTAATTTTCAGCATTTTTAGCTAAATAATTATTGCACATACACACACATACACAGTTAAACGGAGCTACACTGCACGAGAGTTATGTTTTTTTAACACTTTGCATAGGGCACACAGTGAGATGAGGCTGGGGTCCGATGTCTGCGAGGTGTTTGCCTGGCGTGATGCGGGTTTTGTGTAGCCAATCGTGTTGGCTCATTAATTAGCTGCTTGCCAGCCTGAAAACCGACAATGAAAATAAACAAAAAACAGATTAAAAACTGAAAAACTGAACGAGGCGCATGGAAAACGTGGCTGGGCGGTTTATGGGCTTTTCCTTCAGGAAAAACTATTGCACATTTCAATGTTGTTGTTTTTATGTATTTTATTATTATTTTTATTTTGGTTGTTGCCCGTTTGGCTGATAAATTGCCCCATAAAATGCGATTGTTGTACTGGAAAAATGCTAACAATTTGCACCGCACAACAGTTGCACTCGCACACACACATACACGAAATACAACAAAGCAAACGCGTTAATTCGACGCTGTGTGCGTCGCGGCTGTGGCTGCATCTATTAGATACTTTCACTATAGAGAGATATTTGCTATAATTAGCAAATGCCGTCTGCAGCTAACACACACTCGCTCAGAAATCGGCACTGACATTTACTTTTGCCTTATTCGAACTTCACTTTGGCCACAAAATTAACTGCAGCGCGGAACAGTCAATCACCTGTAGGCCTGAGCCCGCTTGATCCGGAATTCTAATTCGCTCGTATGATTAGAGTACGGTCGAGAAGATCTTTGAGCTATACAGATCTGTACGCGTCGGTTGCCACACGGCGACTGCGCAAACGCGTTGGCTGAAATGTCGAAGCGCGTCTAAAAAGCTAAACTTCAACTTCCATTCGAATATGGCCAAGAAACGAGCCCGCTGACGACTGCGAACGAAGTGAGGTGGCCAAAAGAAATGGCCAAGCTAGGCGGCCAGCAACGTAACTCCAATCTGTGTTCGAGTCTGTAGATTAATGTGTGTGTGAGTGAGTGTGAGTGTGTGCGTGAGTGTGAGCGTGTAAGCACAATAACAATATAAACTCTGGCGTAAGTGGGTAGCTCACCTCTTCATATGCCCCGCATAGATAGATATACCTACATACAGACGATGCTATGCTGTGCTCTGCTCTGCTATGTGCACATGTGTATGTATTTACATGCACATGGCACGCCCTCCTCTCTGTGGTTGTGGAAGGTGTACGAGTGACTCCGCTCGGATTTTCAACATCGCCAACAATCACTTGGCCAATGCTCAATGGTGCTTTATGTGGCCACAACTCCATTATGTTCCCTAACAATGCAAGTATTATTAACACTTGCGCGTGTTTTGGCTGGCCCAGCAATAACAACAACAATAACATGGACAACAGCCACAACAACATGTGAATATGTGTAGCAGCCGGGATTTGCATAGATGAATGGTGCGACATTTACGCAAAGATCTTTGTGCAATGCCCCCCCTCAGCCGGCTGCACTCACTCAATGTCAATACCAAATTCAGTTTCGGAATGGGTCTCGGCTGTTGCAGCGGGGCTGGACCGATTGGATTTGGTTAATCGATGCCCGGTCCCAGTTTTGCCATGGCCATTGCCATTTGCGCAAGCCCAGATCAATGTATGACGGCGTTGGTGGAGACGAGGAAGGCGACGGCGACGGAATTTTCGAAATCAATGACCGTGGTCAAGTTTATACAATAATTACAGCCAACTACTCATATGGCTCCCACTGGACCTGTTTCTGTGCTTGACTATGCAATCTCATAAAATTGCTTTTAATTTTTGTTTCTCTACCCATTCATGTTGGCTTTCGTTGCGAGCAGTCTAGCATAGAAATGAACCTTAGAGGAATATGAATACACTGTTAAAAAAGAATGCTCAGCAAACATTTATTGTATGAATATAAATATATTAAAATAGATATTTGGGAACACTAGTGTTTGAATTAAATTCATACATTCATATATTCATATATTCATACATTCATACACTCATACATTCATACATTCATACCTTCATACATACATACATTCATACATTCATACATTCATTCATTCATACATTCATACATTCATACACTCATACATTCATACATTCATACATTCATACATTCATACATTCATACATTCATACATTCATTCATTCATACATTCATACATTCATTCATTCATACACTCATACATTCATACATTCGTACACTCATACATTCATACATTCATACATTCACATATACATTCATACATTCATGCATGCATACATTCATACACTCATACATTCATACATTAACAATGCATTTATACATAAACATATGCACACATACATACATTCATATCTACAACTATTTGGTTTTATTTTTATACCGCAGGTGTATTTATTTGTATTGTTTTTATGTGATAACTTTCAGCTTATGCTCTGCTATCGCGCTCTGGATCTTCGGTATTATTATAACATAAATTCACTGATATCAGAGTATTCATATTATGATGGTCATTTATCAGTTGACATTTTGAAAACAGAAAGTCGCTTAGTTTCAGTTTAACCCTAGATCAAGAGTGATATTCACAACTATTCGTCGGAGTACGTATGTACATGTTTAGAGTCGAGCGCATTTCTTTTTATGTAGCATTTAAATATGTAGATATTTACATAATTAATTTTGCAATTGATGATCCGCCAGTGATGCAGCCCAAAATGGACTTTTATTCATGAGATAACAGTTCAGAGTTACGACTAATTATATCGCGTATACATTAAACAATCGGTTAATGGCCGTCTATTGTGTGGACTGCCTTAATAAACTCTTACTTTTATGCCAAGCAGCACAGATGCGATGCCAGATGCTGCCTGAAGGTATTTGGAGACGTGCTTCATTCGCATATTTGTCGCTTTTCGCTTTTCTTATTCAGTTTTATTGATTAGTCGAGTGAAACAGTTAACAAGACAATAGGAAAAGCCTTCGGTAGCGATACCGAAGAGGGCATTAAAAACAGTTAGGTTTTCGATTAACGCAGCTATGCAGCTAGAACTTTCGTTTGTCGGTCCATAGAAACGAATCTGATTTTTCCAATACGCATCCATCTCTGTCTGCCTATGCTATACGGCTGCTATGGTTGGGAGCCACAAATGTAATTTAGCTAACAAATAGCACGATCATGCACATCACTTTCTCTGTCCAACTCGGCGGGCTTGTCTGTCTTTAATTGTTTTAGGTTTGTTTTATTTAATCGCAGTGGCAAGCACAACAATTTAAAAATTAGTCATACACTTTACTCTAGCTCCTATGCTCTGTACCTATGCCAGATGCAAGCATGCTTGAAGATACAGATACAGGTACAACAACAACTATGTGTATAGCTAAAGCTAAAGCTATAGCTATAGCTATACAATATAGTACATATATATTGCTGCAGATCCAAACGCATATCTGCTCACACACACACACACGCACGCGCCGGCTCCATTGTGCCAGCAAGCCCCCCTCCGTTGGACTCCCTCGGATACGGTTGATTCCTTGGCTAGTCTCTTGTGTCTAACATTGCGTATCTGACATGCGCTCCAAGCGCACACTGAGGAAAAACACTGCACAATTGCGCCCAAAATGTATTTTTCATACAACTGGAGATGCTTTATCCATATATATATTTTATTTATATGGTCTATAATTTCAAATCAATTGTTTATTAATTATGTAGTATAATCTTCAGTCACTCAACTCAACTAGCTGATATTTTAGTTTTTTTTTTCAATATTTCAGTATTATATCATAAATGCATAACTTGCTTGAAATAATTTGTAAATAATAAACTTCTCACATTGCTATCATAGTTAGCTTTTATATAATCAGTTCTGCCGACTTTCAACTGAAATTATAGCACAATTAGGCTTTTGTATGAAAGGCTAGATTTGGTAAGTGCTGAGAGCTGCAGCAATCATGCTTCTTATCATGATCTGACTTTCTTTTGGCATATAGCCCAAGTAGCTGCGGTTGTTAAAATTTGGGTTGACTTCGAGCTGCGAGCCGCGAGCCGCGAGCGTCGGGCATTGCATCACGAAAAATGCTCCACAACAATTGTCACATTGTGCTATGCGTTACGGCATGTCTCTATTACTTCTTCTGCTTCTTCTTCGTGTGCCCCATACCCCCCTTTCTTGTCGTGTGTCTTCTTCATTTTCAACACGTTTCCACTATTTAACAATAACAATACAACATTCGTGCAAGTCAAGCGCCGTTGCCACGGAGTTGGGCATATTAAGAAAAATTAACTTGGCGTAGTTTTTTAGTTTGAATACAATTTGCGAAAATGATTTTACAATGTTTATAAAACTAAAAAAAAAAAACTATTCACTTTATAGATAGTGAAAATGTGCGATTCAAAGGTTACCGCACAGTGACACATAATGGCATTGTTAACTAAATAGGTTTTACTTAGCTAAACGTGTCTATGGACGATGTTGGTCACAGCTATTAGGATATTCATTTGAGTCAAGTGAAGTGTAAACTGGTTTGAGAAGTGAGTGAGTATATATAAAGCCATATGTGGAGCATAAGAAGAGACCACCTAAAGAAAGGCTAGCTTGAGGCAAACCTATTGTTTATTTATAAATCAGTTTCAATTGGCTCTACCCACCTAGCTAAAAAAAAGAATCCTCAAACAAAATTTAAATATCAAGCACCTTTGTAGACAAAGTTGTGTATATACATATACTTATATGTACCCTCTTTTTTAAGTCCAATAAAAAGCACTAAATGTCCGCAGTTGATATATTTGCCAACTTGAAAAATTTGGAGTAGACTCTGTGAAACATAGCTGTACCTAGGCTGCGGCTCATACTCATAGTTTAAAGACTTTGTTAGGTTTGGCGAACAATGCGCCCATAAGGTGAGCATTACGGCGTAGATAATGAAATCCAACATAGAAATTGCTCAAAAAAGCGTGACGCGTGCCGTTGCTGATGAACTCTGCGCCATAAATTGCCAAGAGCCAGCACACTTGCATACCGCACAGCCATATATATGTATGTACGTGGTATATATACGTATTACAACCTTAGCGGTATTTGCTAGACGCAACAAAAATTCTTATGGAAATTCAACATGTTTTATTGCTTATAATTGCCTGCTGAAAAGAGATTTTCGTTAATTCTGCTTCTTCTTTATTATTTCGTTTGCCTGGTAAATTTTCAGGCAATTTTCATCTTCTTTCTTCTGGGTGCTAAAGCGACTTTCATTTATTTCGGTCAGCCGAGTTCAAATGGCGCGTGCTTTGTGGGTCAGTGGTGTTCCACACACACACACACTCACACATACACATACAAGCAAAGAACGAGAGGAGGTGGCACTCGCCTCTTGCTGAAAAATTATATAGAAGTTGGAGTGCTCATTGACACCATCAGATTGTTGAATTTAAATGCTAACTGTTCTCTTATTGTTCGTCTCTCAGTGCCGTTCCGTTGTCGGCAGCCAACTTTGCTGTTAGATATAATCATAGCTCAAGTGCGGACTGTGGATCGTTTAACACAATTCAGGGAAAGTTCTGCGCTCGCTCAAAATAATTGAATAATTAATAACTCACATGAGTCATGTGAAAACTGTTGTCGAAAGAGATAAATCAGATTTATGAGATGTGGAAAGATTCTCGGTATTAGGCAGTCGTTATGCATATATGATATATGTATATGTATATGACTTCGTCTAGTAGGTCGAGGACAGCTGCTTGTGATTATAAAAAGGAATCCTTAGTTAATGCAGGCATTTGTAATAGAGTGGGGCATAACAGTTAGCCAATTAATGGCAGGCCATCGTGCAGGCACATGTTTGATTAGCACATTCAAGCAGTTAAGTAGCAAGTAGCTTGATCAAAATACAGTTAAGTAGCAGTAAAGTGGTGATTGGAAATGTCTCGACGTGCCAGCAAAACTCGTAATTGTATATCTATAGCTTCTCCGCTTACGAGCGAGCCAGCGTGCGTCTGTATTGATGCGTTCTGGCAGCCCCGCCGGCAAGGAGTTATGGCTCTGACCCACCTTTAGAACTGGATGCGATGGCAACCAGTTGCAGTTGCAGTTGCGCAGCTGCCGCAAACGGCGCATCGATGCTCCAGTTTCTCAACCACAGACCTGTCACGCAGCCGCCGAGAGGAGAAAATCGGAAAATAATTGCATGAAAACTCTAGATCCCTGCTCGAAAGAAGCGCGAACAGCAAATGCGGCCAATGAACAGACGAAGGGGGGCAGCAACAGGGGCTGGGAGTAAAGCTGAAGCTGAAGCTGATGCTGAACGAGTTCAGCAGGAAAAATGGCTTTGTCGATCTTGATACTATTGAATGTAGGCAACATAAGAGATCCCGCTAATCGAATGATTGTATTTAAGTCTGCATTAAATGTGGCACTTACTTCTGGTACCAAATACAGGCACAAGTACAGTTAACAAGCGCTGCAATTGGTAAGAGACTTGTCGTTAATGATAATGGCTAATGACTAATGGCTAATTAAATGAACTGAGGTAAGAATAATTGCAAAGACAAGCAATTCTTTCTGCACAGAATGCGCGATTGACTTCGAGTGTGATTGACATTAAATTAAACAATTTTTTTTATATAATAAATACAATTAAATATATGAATTTCAATGCTGAGTGTTATACAATATATTTGCAATAATAAATTATTTGATATTTATATATACTACTATAGAATATATATATATTTTCAAGCTTCTTTTGGCATGGTTGAAAGCCAAGGAATGATATATATTTGGGCGTATGTGTAATATTCTTTGTGAGCTTTAATTACAGGAAATATAATTAAGTAACTATTTTTCTAGAGTTGAAATATTGAATACAAAATTTGTGAATAGTAATTTAACAATTTATTTGATATGTAGATATAAATTATATTTATATATAGCCAATTAGCCGGCTGGTCATATGTGCAATATTTAAATTGAAATTTCTCTTTCTCGAAATTTCTTCTGATAAAATATCATGTTGACTTACTTAATTAGCATTGTAATTCCCACATAGGCTGTCAATATCCATCTTCAAGCTGTGGCGGCATTGATAAATGCTCAAGTTCATGAATAATTATGCATTAATTAAATTTCGTCAAACACAATTCTGTAGTCTGGTTAAGGTTCTTCTTGAATACACACTGATCTAGCTGAGCAGAGCAGGCTCTCGACTCGGTTAGCTCTTTGGGCAAACGAAATTGACTGCCATGGAAACTGCAACCGAAACAGCAACCGAAGCGCGTGAAGCCAATAACGAGACTAACAGCTCGAGTGCAATTCGGTTGAGTTGAGTCCAGAGCACCGTCCAGAGACGGCCAAAGCGCCAGCTCCATGTCAAGTTTTCAGACTCGGCCGTGGCTTCGGGTTATGTGCAGACTGCTCGTAATCTCGTCACGCATTTGCCCAGTCGCTGGAGGCGCTCAACTGACGCTTGGCGGCTGTTAGCGCCAGCTGATGCGGATTAGCCAAATCTTATGTCGGCGTCGACAGCTGTAAGCCCATAATTAAGACGCAAATAGCCCGCATTTAAATATTTAATGTCAACACTTGCAGATATTTGGATTTCAGTTTGACTTCCTGCAGCGACACCTATGCCCATTGCTGTTCCCTTCCTTTTCCTACTTGGAGTCCATACCTGTCCGGACCTGTCTGCCTTGACCGACGATCTCGATCAACGAAGTCGCCGCCAAAAAGTGGTTAAACCTGCGTGGGTATTGCCCCAAATTTTCTTGTGTGCTCATTTGGGCTCGTCCCAGTCAGTGTACGAGTATTTGACCAATATTTGAGTGAACCGTTAGACAGACGCGCTTGGAGCTCAAGGCGGCCTGGTCATATTAATATATGCCTGGCCCGGACTAGCTAACTTCATCAATACAAACGGCCACCTGAATGAAAACAGGTTCTGCACGCGCACTCGCACTCGCCTCGAAATGGGTCAATCTTTAAGAATGCTGCTGTCAGAATCTTTGGCGGGTGCAGCTCCAAGCGAGTGACGGTCTTTGATGTTGCAGTCCCAGCTCCTGGCTGGCTCTTCGTTTCGTTCTTTCGTTTTGGCGTTCCAGGGAATTGTGTCAGTCGACCAAGGCGGCAGCATGGAATACTTTATTGGGAGGATGAGCAAACAAGAAGAAGACTCTCGGCAGGCAGATTTCGTATACAGGTCTGCCTTGTTTCTAATTGGGCCAGCACCTTATTCATTTGAATAGCCCCATTAATTTGTTCTAATTTCTTTCGATTGCAAATTGGGCACTGGTACTCTGCTAAGGCTTTGAATCTAAAAATTCTTTACTTTTACCTTATTCAAATACGAATTTTATGAAAATTTTGTTGTTTCTACAAAATCTATAAAATGCTTTAAATTATACGTAAAAATAAGATATGTATTAAAAAAAAACGATATATATTTAAAACAAAAGAGAACCTTGCTGTCCAATAGACTTTAAACTACGAAACAATATGCTGACTAATTCAATAGCAGCTATAAAACTATCTTTGTTGATTGTTTAATTGATAACATACAAATTTTGGCCCGTGACAGTGACATTCAAACTGTGCTCTTGAAAATATGTATAAATACAGACAGGAAGCGTATTTTTTAATGAATCGGTTATACGTGACTCTGCATATATTTCCAATTTTGCTAAGTTTTCACGGGCACTGATAACGATTGGAAGCAAGCGGCAAAGCAAACATTTATACATACATACATACGTAGGCTGTCTGTTAAAAACTGGCTGCTACGAATATATATGCAGACTGCAGTTTTCTCTCAATGGGTGCTTTGGTTGCATTATTTTGCATTTACCCTTACAAAATCAACAATAGAAATACGTTTGTACAATATTATATCTATAATAGAAAAAATCTTAAATTGATAAGCTCTTCACGTAAGGAAAGATTTGCGTAAAGATTCAAATAATCAATTGCCTTTTCTGTGACAGTGTAGCAGACAGCTTCTGAGTGCTCACAGAACCGCAAGCAGTGTGTAACTGCTTTGCCAACTGTGGAGAAAACCACATTCGATGGCTTTTTAGTTGCAGCCTAAACATATGCTACGCTTTAAATTAGTTTTGTGATGCAAGCGGATAATATATATGGAGTCTAATATTTGTAAATGGCATAGGGTGCACATGATTTATAGTCTGAATTTAAACTATTGCATACTTTTTTGCGCAAGGAATAAAACTAATAAACTTTTTCTCAAAATTAATAAAAATAAAAAAATTGATAAATTTACTCCTTTATGGAATGCTGAATCTCTTTATTAACTTGAATTGTTTCTAAGCAATTGTTATGTTAGCATTGGTTAGCATGAGCTTGTACTATTTACAAAAGCCTATCACTCCCCTATCCCCGCATCCGTGCATAGTTTTTATCGTCCGAATCGCATGTGGCCGTAGTCATCAAACTGTTCATCGTTGCCCCGCTTGCCAAACCTCATGTGGCCGTAGTCGTCGAATCTCTTTGGGCGCTCAGCCTCCTCGTTGTTCACCAGCAGCTCCAGTTCGATGGGAATTTTGGAGTGAGAGATAGGAAAAAACCGTGGCCCGTAGCCAATGGATCTTTGGTTGCGCCTGTTGTTGTTACCAAAGTGCGTACGCGCAGTGCCAGCTCCATTGACGGTGGAGTCGCTGTCCGACTCCAACTTGGGTTCCATATTGCGCCTTTGCTGCTCCTCCTTGAGCGAGTCCAGGCTCTCAGCGTACGAAGGAGAGGGCAGGATCAGTAGCAAGTAGACTGCGAGCACAACCAGAATGAGCGCACCCGAACAGCGTCCGGGACTCTTGTAGGGCAACATCTTTACAATTGTCCTGTCGCTGACTCAATGCCAATTCCCAGCCAGGCACATTCGCTTTTATAGCCAACTCTCCTTGGAGTCCTTCGGGGCAATATTTCTACTATTTAATATTCCGCAGCTACTCGCAACGCCCTAAGTGAAGCCGCTACATCATCATTTGACAGCTGATTGACGTGATTGAATAAAGAGAGCAAATCCTACGCTACCTGAAATATTATTGAATTTTAATGCAGTTAGATGGCTCAAGGAGAAGAATAGAGTGAATTGAAGGAAAACATTATTATTTCTTTTTAGCCTGTTGAATAGATAATGCTCAGATGAGGCACAGAACAACGTATTCAAGGCGAAGTTAAAGAATTATACAACTTGTTTATAATACATAGCTTTATATAATTTATTTATTCATTTAATACATTCCCTAAAGCATAACAAAAAATGACTTTGACTACATTCATTAAGCATGTGACCTTATAGACAACATAAATAGGAAATTGAGAGATTACATAAATATTTATTATGTTTTATTGATATTAAACTTAAGTTGTCTTTTGTCAAGAATTTAGTGAGCCAAGGTGAACACATCCATCCCTCATCTCATTCAAGAACCGAGCTTTTAACTCTCAACAGAGATTCATAGATATAAATGTAAATATAAAATCAAATTTCAAGGGCCAGCGATGCAGACGATTTTCGAACAGATCAATTACAAAGTTGTTGAAGGCGTGTGACACGACTGCTCGCCTCTTTTTTGGTGGGTTCATTGATGACAGGTTTAATTAAATGTGTGTCGTCTGAGCCTGAGCCAGCCAGCCGTAGAGCTCTGCAGAGAGAGGGAGAGAGAGAGAGAGGAAGAGAGGGAGAGAGAGAGAGAGACGATGGCGTGTCAAGTGCCTACTCCCTCCGATTGACCGCATTGAGCCGTTTGGCTCTGCATTTGTGTTTGTGTTTGTGTAAAAAGAATGCCATTTGCTGACCGGATTGTCCGCATTCCAAAGATTCAATCGAATGGTAGACACACACCAATACACACACCAATAGACACACACACATACTAGTATATAGTGGTACATAAAAGACCAAATTAACAGCTATAGAGAAAAGTATCTACGAGTTTATCAATAAACAAACCGCAATCCATAGCCGCAGTCGCAGCCCAATGCAACGGTTTGTAGACTTGGACAAACACACACACACATCTATATATACATACAAAGTCCACAACCAGTCTCAGAGAGTGCAAAAAAATAACACAAGACACAAATAAAATGTGAGCATAACAAAAGCCTGTGGCAAGAGACGCGCATTAGAAACAAGACAAAATCCACAAGACAAAACTTTGTGAGCCGCACAGCCGGCTCATCTTGGACACCGCTGTCCACTGGCCACTGTCCACATCGGTGGTGGTGCTCTGTGGTGCTGTGGTGCTGTTGTGACGGCCACAGCGCCAACGACAACTTCTTGCTGCTTGCAGGTGTTTCGAGGTCTCGATTGCTGTCCACGCAATTCAGCGGAGCGGCTCTGCGGATCGGGTTTACACGCTCTTGTCACCTAAACACCTATATATATGTATATCTATGTCTATATATGCATGTATGTATATGCATATCATTAAAAAGTGTGTGTGCTTCTTAGACAACTTCGGTTGATGTAATATGAAATCGTATATATGCAGCCAAATGAGCTTTATCTGTTTGCTGGCATACTAAGTTGATTAGCTCTTTCTTCACCTCTAGCCAAATAGCCCGCCCTATCGCATCTGCTTTTTGTGGTCTGTCAGTTTTCAGCTTAGCATTCTGTGTTCTGTACGTGAGATACATAAAGCGAATTCATCCGCTTGATATGACTTGGTTAGCAGCACAATCAGTTTAGTTAGCATCACCTGCATTTACAATTAGATAAATGGGAAAATGGGTTTTCTGTGGCAGGCTGTGCCATCCATTTCCCCCAATTTATGGTGGCCCTCGGGTGGGCCGGCCATAATCGAGATGCATTGGAGACAGCTTATGGTGTGGCATGTGCGCTCAGCGATTTGCCTGCTTGACCAGCTGCCCAAGTCGGCGTTGGTATTCCAGTAAAACTGGAAATGGAAAACATTTTCTTGCCGCATTTTCTCGTTGCATAAACGTGGAATTTCCATAAAGCTAACGACGCGACGGCTGTGCCGCTGACACACACTCACAGATACACACACACAGCCGCCGGCCAGCCCGAGGGATGCCCCGTCCTCCCGCCGAGCGGCTCCGTACGCGCTTTTAATTGAAAATCTCTTACGCAATGCGAGGGGCAGACATATAACTCCTGAAAGTAGAAAACATAAAGCCGAAAACAGCAAACTGAAAACTGCAAACTGAAAACTGGAACTGCCAATTTTGATTTATACGTTAAGCGGTTGGAAAAATATATGCTTCGCGCCTGGCGGCAATTAGGTAATACGCGCATAAAGGTAAATGGCTATTGGTGCAGGTAATACGGGCCATACCGCCCAGCCCAGCGCAATTATTGTGGCCAAAATAAAAGATATATAATATATAAACGAGGACACTGATGCAATTCGCTTTTGGCCTTTTGTGTGCTTATAAAATGCTTGGGAATTAACCTGTTCACCTGCAGCACCGCATCTGCCTGCCTCTCTGTATGTGTATGTGCGTGTGTGTGAGTGTGTGTATCCGTATCGGCATCTGTGTTCGTATCTTGTATCTCTTAATATACAGCTCACACATGCTGCCCCCCTTACCAAGTGGAAGTTAAAGTTGAGCTTGAATTGCGATGATCTTTGCTTTCGGCATTATAAGTAAGTAGCGCCGACTCAAAAACTGGAAGTGAAATCGGAATTGGATTCGCTTGCGGCTCCATCCCTCTCTCTTTCTCTCTCTCTCTCTCTCTGCTTCTCCCCTCTTGCTCTGCCTCTGTCTCTGTCGCTCTGCCGAAATTCTCAACAGTCTCGAACGATTTCATCACTCAAAATTCGAATATGCACATAAAGTATGCTCGCTGCAACTTTCGCTTGTTTTACTTTAGTCGATTGTTAACAAAATATTCGAATAATTTGTGTTTGAACATTTGTGTTTGACACGAGGCCCTCCCAAGCCTAAGCCCCGGCCCGGCCTCTGGCATGCCATATGCAAATATGAAATCTGCAGTCAGCGACATGCCAAGAATTTGCATGCAAATTCCATTGTGCGACAGCCCATATGCATTGCCTAGACTCCAGCCATACAAATATGTATATATATTATAGATCTGAGCATAGGCTGAAGTAATATTCTGTAATTCAGCTGGTGGGAGTCTGACTTCACCCACATACACTGCTCAAAATGCAGTGTAAATATATGTATATACTTTTACTGAAATGCAAACTAATTATACCCTGAACCCATTTTCAATGGGAAATGGTTTTGTTGAAATGTATGTAACAGGCAGAAGGAGGTGTGGCAGACCCCACAAAGTATATATTAATATTCTTGATCAGGGATATCGCTGATCTTTTTTATCGATAAAAAACCTTATCGAAAATCAGCTATAAAATTATGTCTCCTACATCTTTTAAGCTACCGTCTCCAAATTTTGAATGTATATTGATATGCATTTTATACAATTTCGGTTTTTACCCTCCACGCCTATATCCACCCCCTCTCCATCACCTTTGTAAAAGGCGTATTTCAAATACTAAATACTAAAAACTTGTGCTTTGGCAAGTGTACGCATATTATTGTGATAATTACGATCTGAAAGTTTCATGAAGATCGTAGGTCCACAAAAAAAGTTATTAGACAATTAAGTTCTCATAGTAAGCGCACACTGCAGCCCATGCGTGTTTATGCGTGGGTGCTTGTGTGTGTATGTGTTTGTGTGTATGCATGTGTGCGTGTTTCTTCTGTAAGCAGAAAGATGCATGAAATAGCTTTTGCTCGAAGGGTTCAGGGGATCTCGTAGTCGAGCAGTCTCGACTAGAGCTTTTTAGTTGTTTTATTTGCTCCAGTTATAGCTTTAGGAAATATATTATTTCGACCAGATATACACACATGTGTACTGCATGCGATGATTAGACTAGTTTGACCTTGGGTTTATAAGAATGTTTTTAATATTCAGGGACATGCACTTGACTCGAAATATTCAAAAAAATAAAATAAATAAATGAACCACAAAGACGATTTGGTATTCGATTTCTATTTAAGTTTTACTGTATATGATTATATATACTTCATAAGTATGTAATCTTAAATCAGCAGAAATAAATTAGAATTACATCAATTTTCTCAGTGTATAGCGGCTGTCTCTAGGCTTCACTCACGGCATTTTGTGCTTCCCCTCCTCTACAAGAACACCCGCTGTGCCAATCAGTTAAACTGACTGACTGATATATGCATATACCTATACATATATACACACATATGCCTATACATACATATGCATCTATGTATGCAAATAGCTGATATTTATTCATGTTGTGCTCCACGCATGCTAATTGATTGAGCCGAAGGTGTGCTTGGGCCGAGCCTCGCAGCCATAGTCGAATTTGATAAAAATAGAACTTGGCTTAGTAGTGGCTAGTGGAAATCGAGTTTGGGCCAGCTCTCCATAGGTGTACGAAATAAAAGAAGCGTTTCTTTAACATTTTATTATATTTATTGTACACATATTTCTGTATATTTGTCTGTATTTATGATTAGGCATATCTATTACATCTGCGCTTTAACATGCTAATATGGACAGATTGAAAAAACAGTATTATTAGTAGGTATATATATTTATATATGCATGTGTGTATGTGTCCGTGTATGTGTCTGTGTATGTGTCTATAGCTAAGTGTAAACGCTTTCAACTAGCTCATTCGTGAAGATATTTTACATTTGTGCTCGCAAATCTCGGAAACAGAAGTTTTTCTCCAGCTCTCAAGTGTGATTTATTTATTATTATATTATTCTACATTATGTATTATAATCGGTTATTTGTTGTCTTTGCTTTCATCGGAAAGGTTTCTCAATAAATGTTTTTTTCTCTCTTTTCTTGTTTTAGTTTTCATTATATTTATATATATATACTTAAAGTATAAACCTAGTAAGGCACACATATTCATTGTTGATAATTGATTTTGATTGCAATATCGTAAACGATATTCGCTTCGAAATTTGGTTACCCAATCCTATCTGAAGTCTATTGCTGCAGTACAGCTTGGTCGCTCTTTTGTTTAACTGTTGATTCGATTCCATTTCTAAGTTGACCAGCATCGCTAAAATGTTGTGTAACTCTATATATGTATATATATGATCGTACGTATATATATATGTATGTGTATATATGTAGTACTTCTAGTCCTTGTCAGGTGTAGACTGCCTGGCTTGGCTGCTTATCTGCGCGGCTTGCCGAAGCTACTTGCGGGGCCCAGTGGGCCGTATATCGCATGCGGCTGATGCGGATGAGCGTGTGGATGCGCTGGACCCGCTGCTCCGTTCGTCATGGCAGACTGCTTGCGCTGCAGCGTGGCCGGACCGGGGGCCACTTGGCGGCGCTCGCCGTCGCTGAGGTCCAGGCCGGCCACCATTTGTGCAATCTCGCGCTCCTTCTTCATGTCCGGTGGATTGAACTGTAAGCTGGCCAGCGAACCGTGGCTGCGACTGCGATGCTCCTGGCGTATGGAGTAGCTAAAAGCACGCTCGTTCAGGTGACCCTTGCGGCGATAGATGCCCGTGCCGCCTGGCGACGGCGATTCGGCGCCCGAGTTGCCCGAGTCATCCAGGCCGTTGCCCATGGAGGCGGCCATCTTGCGGCTGGACATGCTCAAGGGACGCGGCTCGCCGATCATTGACTGCGCCATCGGCGGCGGCGGCACCCCGCCCATTGCCTGCTGGTAGGCGTAGATGGGCGGCACAATGGGCATGCCCACGGGCATGCCGACGCCGCCGTTCTTCTTATCCTTCTTCTTCTTTTTGCTGGTGGAGCGCGACGGCTGCAGCGTCGCGTACTGCTGCGGCAGCATCATGGGTATCTGCAGCGGCGGCAGGCCGGCCATATGCTGTGCATGCTGCATCTGCATCATGTGCTGCGCATGCGCCTGTGCCTGTGCATGCGCATGTGCATGTGCATGCGCGTGATGCGGCGGCGGACCGGGCGGAAAGCCGCGATGACTAATTGTGTGATATTGGCGCGCAGCGTGCGGCCCGGAGATGGGGCCATAGATGACGCTGGCAGAGCCGGGACCTGGTCCCGGTCCTGCATGCATTTGTGTGCGATGCATCGCCGTCGCCGGATGCATGGGCTTTGGTCTGATCAGTGTGCCCGACAAGCTCTGGCTGCCGCTCGACTTCGAGGACTTCTTCTCGCGCTTCGTCTTGCGCTCCTCCTTGACTGGCGGCGGTGGCACATCGATGGGCGTGCTGATCTGACGAGCGCGCAGCGGCCTGCCCAGCGTGGACGTATTGCCGGCATACAGCTCATAGGGACTCTCCGCGGCGCCAATGCTGTCCAGCTGATCCTGTGAGCCGCTCCACACCTTGTGGTTCTCATCGCCATTGTACACAGATGCGTCGCCATCATCCACGGTGACGTTCAGGTCAGCGCTGCTACCATAAACTGCAATTGAGTGAAGAAGTTGAAGGAGTCTTAGTATGGCTGAACAATTAAATACTCCATTAATTGTCTATGGGTAGCTCTAATTCTTAAGAGTTCATCGAGAGGAACTCAGAACAGACTCTTCTGAGTGATTAACCAAATTGTTAATGGATTGATGAGCTACTCTCAAAATAAGCTAGAAATGCTAGACAGAGAACTATAACTCCTTTTCATATGTACTTTTTGTATAATAAATCAAATGAATAAAAACTTTCTTCAACACATCAAAGATCAATTCTTAAAGAGTTTATCCACAATCAATTGCATAAAAGTTCACAAAAGATTGTGAATTGATTTCAAATTGAATGATTTGGGTAAGACGCAAAATAACAACTCTTAACTATTTTATATAACATACAATTTATAAATAAATAAAAAAAAACAACTCCAAGCTAAGAACGAGTTTGGACGCAATCGACTGGGTGATCTGAATGCAGCTCTTGGGTTTCACTCGATAGCTGGTTGACCTTCGCGGCCAATGGATGCTGTCCAGCCAACTATTAATGTCCCAGAGGGGGCCAGAGCTGGGCGGGGGCCGCACTTGTCTCACATTACGGGCCGAGCCGGGCAGTTGAGGCTAAAGCGCTGATTCATGCGCCAAGTGGCGAGCGCTGGGCCCGGGCAATGGCATTTCCATTAGCCAAAATGCTGGAAATTAGCCGAGCGCGTCTAATCCAAAAAACAAATTTAAATGAATATAGGCCAAGACCGTCAAGAGTCGATGGCAACGGCAACAGCAACAGCAACGGCGGTCGCATTCAAATGAATCGATTGTGAGGCAATTGAATGCGCTTCGGTTCGACTTTGACGACTCTTAAGTGTTCCCTTCGCACGTACTACGTACAGGTGTGTATGTGTATGTGTATGTGTGTGTGACTTGGTCAGTTAGGCAATGCGAATATGTTCGACAGTTACAGATACACTTATGTGTATCTATAAATATACTAACCACACACACACACACACACATGCATAGACATTCGCGATGCCGTTACTATCGAGTTGAGCGTCGCCTTTTGTCGCAGCCGATGAAGGTTGGCGCGGTTCTGCAGCGCATTTGGGCCATGGCAGCAATCACAGCACTGGCAACGGCAAACGGTTTTGTAATAAATAACGGTAATTTAATAACTTGAGCGCGGCGGCTACACACCTGCCGCCAGCCAGCGCTGCGCCCCCTTCGCCCTAGCTTCCTGCCACAAAAAAGCAAAAAAAACAAAAAACCAGCCCAGCCCCAGTCGCAGTCGCCGTCGCCGTCGCCGTCGAAGTCGCAGTCGCCGTCGCTGTCGAAGCCGCAGTCACCGCCCAGTCCGGCAGACGACAAAAAGCGACGAGTCAGTTTTTCAGCATACTCTGCCAGCGAGCATTATGAATCGACTATAAAATACGGTGATATATGAATATTTTCTATAACTTTGTACTATTATAAGCAAGTTAAATATGTAGAGTGGAAGACTGTTTCTAACTTATATGCATCCAAATATATTTAATAAAATTTGTCATACTCAAGTATGTAAATTTAAAATGCTCGAATTTATTGTTAGCAAAAGACTATCTATGCCTTTAGTGTAAATCTGTGTCAGCAAGAAAAACTGAAATGTTTATTAAACAAATTGTTTGCTTTGTTATGAAGAGTATTAGCAATTCGAGCTCTCAATAATAACTGTTCTTTCTAGTTTTTAATCTTATATTCATTTGTTGTTAGTGTCTGCCTTTGTAGCTTCGCTTCTTAGCCATGCCATAATTTGGTTTGGTTCCCCCGCTCTTTTTTTTTACTTTTTGCTATTCTGCTGTGGCTCTGCAGCTCTTTGGCTCTTTTGCTGCTTTGTCGTCGCTGCCGTTGCTGCTGCTGCTGCTGGCATGAGAAATCTCCGGTCGCGTTGGGGTCTATTGACCCCCGCCGAGACGCGGCCAACGTGCTCGACTGACTGACGTTGAAAATGAGAGCGAACTTTTTGGGCACTGTGTACGCCCCCCGGATAGCTCCCCGGCTAGCTGAAAAACTCTACATAAAAATCGTATTGTTTGAGCGGAACTGGCTGCAGACATTGTGGGAAACGCTCCGTTTCAGTGGCTGTTTCTTAATTAGCAAGCTTTTCACATGCCCAAATGTCAAATGCATTATATCGCATATATACGAAATGTCCAAGAGAGCCCATTTCGCCAATTCTCACATAAATTCTGGCATTTGGCTCTGCCCCGTTTTGTATATGGATCCATATCTTGGCAACTTTCATTTCTGAGCTCGATATTCGAAAGTGAACTTAAGTGGTTTTTACTGAAATTATATTTCAGTTTCAGCGGGTCGCTCACACTACATCTAAGACTTCATTTATCATTCTCCATACGAATTGAAAGTGTTGAAAATGTTATTCTTAATTGTTTCGGGCAGCATTCAAAGCTGAAGTTTCCGACACGATTCAAGGCAAAGGAATCCATAATTATTTCAACAGAGTCATATTGATAAATGGCTTATATAAATATAGGTGAATAAAAACTTTCACAGACTCCAAATATATCTAAGATCTGAGGCTAATCTGACTGGAACCATTTAAGAACTTCCTTATTATAATTATGTATCGAAGTGAAACTCTGCTTTGATTTGGTGTTTAAGCAATCCATTTGAGGCATTTACCTCGCCGCAGAGCATAATCTGCGTAAACGCTTTGCGGAAGTCAATCAAATTGCTGAGCAATGTATCAGCCGGGCCGGACCGAGCCATGACGGGCAGCTGGCTAGTTAGTTGGCTTCGATTTGTAATGCTTGGCAAAAATGCAAAGCTGTAGCTGGTAATTACACTTCCAGTTGCAATTTACGCTAATTTCGAGCTTGGAGCGTGGAAGTTGATTTACAATTTTTAATTGTTTCGCATTTCGCTAGCTGCAATAATTACGTGAAATTGTTTTAAACAAGTCTAACCGAAGGCCCCCTCTTCTTTCTTTCTCTCCCTCTCTCTCTCTCTCTCACTCTTTCCCTCTCTCTCTACACTTATGTCATAAGCAATGTGCAGTGCTATCCGCAGCGCACTCCATTCACGAAAAGTAAAATTAATACTCTCACTTAATGTGGCGAGTGGCCTCAGCGCATGCGTGCGTGAAAATTGTATTTCCACGTTTTGGCTGGGGCTTGGGCTGGGCTGGGCTGGAGCTGGACTGGAGCTGGAGCTGGAGCTGGTGAGTCATTGCAACAAGCTTCAATCGAAGGCAATTCATGCCACGAAATGAGAACTCCGCTTAAACACAATGTATCTTAAGTTGGCCAAAAAACAAACTGTTGGCATTTAAGCGCATTTGCCATTCAGCTAAAACATTCCGAGCGGAAAGGGGAGTGCCAGAAGCCCAAATAGCGCCTTTGAATTTCAGTTTTGTTTTTGTTTCTGTTCGATGCTAAAATGGAGTCGCAATGTGGCTTGGAATTTGCTTGTTGCCTTTGCTTGCCATTTCGTTTTCCGCTGTACGCTGTCTGCTTCCCGCTGCCCGCTGCCCGCTACCTCTTGCCTCTTGAGTCGAGCTCGTGCTGCAGCTGCACGGCCAGAGCTTCACTAGGTCGCGCTGCCAGAGCTGAGTGACTAATGGCAGAGCGAAGCAGCACCTACAAGCCCATAGATTATGAGTTATTCATATATGCTTGGGCGAAAATTGAAATGGATTGGGGTCTGGAGCCAAGTGTGTGTCGCCAGACACATCCCACCAGACAAGACAATAAAGATTGAAAAGATTTTTTGACATTATTTTCCATGGAGAAATCTGTCATCTGGCGTGAGTGCAATCACAGCAAACTCCACTGTGACTTGAGGAATTACTGATACGATCTAGATATGGGTGAGTACACTGGAATAAATGGGGAGCCTATAAAATCTAGATTGAGATAAGTAAACTAATTAACAAATCATTTCCATGAGCAAAGACAAAACAAAGTCTAAGAAGAGTGCATAGATAACTTGATAGAAGCTCTATAGAAAGCGAAATATATTTTAGAACTTATTAATCCACTTGTAATTGATAAGCCTATAATAATATATTGCACAATAACTGTAATGACATTCAAGCGCATGCTTTATAAGAGCTACTCATGAATATAATAACTTAATTGCAACAAATTTCGCTCAATTCAAATACAGCAGAGTAAAGGTAAATCAAAGAGATAGAGAGGAGGAGGCAGCAGAGGTAACAATCGGTATATATAGAGAGAGAGAGATAGAGCTGGCATGCAAAGTGGGTCAAACTCTGGAATTCGCTTTATTTTTCTCTCCTTTCTATGCTAGTCCAATCATTGCGAATAATAAAAATCAAATTTGTGTAATCGAGCCATGCTTAAATGCAATTCAACATGGCAACAGCAAAGATTGACCACAACAACAACAACAAGAAACTTTGAAAAAATGTTGCAAGTCAACGCGAAATGTTTGCCGAATGACTGCAACATGCAACAGAGCCAAGTCATTCAACTGCAACTGGATTTCGGTTAATGTGCCTGCCACTCGCTTGTCTCGTCTCCCTCTCTCTCTCTACCTCTCTCAGTCATCGTCTCTATCTGCCAAACTATCTATGGGTATATTTCACGCTCAATCTCAGGCCAGCTTCTTTGCATAATAATAATGGAACTGCAACAGCGATGCAGCAACAGCAACAGCAACAACAACAACAACAACGGCAACTGCCACTTGTGATCGCTGCTCGTAATAGTAGCTTAAAATGTTGCACTGCCGCTCCTAGAGATGCCGCTCGTTGCAAGCGGAAGTTGGAACCTGTTCCCGCTTCTCTTGCCGCTGCGCCCACCACTGTTCGATATTTCAGTCATGGTCAAGTGGGCATCCTGTTATTGTTGCTGTTGCTATTGCTGTTGCACGTCAATCAGCAACTAGTTTCCTATGTTGATATATATGTATATAGCTCTTTTTTGAAATATTTAAAAACTATATAAACTTTTGCTGCTCAAAACTGATTTCCTAATAGAATTTTCATTAGCTGATTGCATCACGGCCAGCCAAAACAAGATATTTCCCTCGAGCGCTATGTAGGTCAAATTTTGGTTAACTGTGCCGTTGCCGAAACTGGAATCTGGTCGCCAACAATGTGCAACTTGTTTCGTTATGGTATGTCTTGGTTGTTCGTTGTCTGTCGCCGCTCGTTGCCATTTAAATGGTACCACAAAATGTGTGGACAAAGCCACCTGCAAATTGCTTGAATCAACATGCTAGAGGCGCGGCCAGCAATCGAAGGCTGCTCGCTGGAGGCTGGAGGCTGGGGACGGAGGCGATGCCAAATTGTGGGCCACTTGGTTTATCAATGGAGCTGGAGTTAAACTGAGTTGGCCAACAATTGGCAGCTGAGGTCGCTGCATAAACTTGACTTAAACTGAGCAACAACAGCAGCAACAACAAATGGTTATAGCTCTCGCTTTAGCACACTTTCAAGCCATTAAAATGCAATTGAAATTAGTTGATTTAATTAAAAAATAAATGCGAGAGTGAGAGAAAAGCAATTAACTGGCTGCCAGAGATTCCTTTGCCAGATGCCACACAGCCTCAATTCGCATCGAGAGCAACAATGAGCGGCAGCAAGACCTTAATCTTGCAGTCGTCCACAAGCAAATTAACAATGTTAATTAATAGAAAATCTACAGCTGAGCGAGATAGCTCAGAAAGAGACACACTATCACACACATTCACACATGCACACATGCACGCGTGTGTGTCTGTCAGATTTTATCATATCTAAATAAAGTTTCACTTGCTCACACGCTCAAAATTTAAGAATCCCCCCCTCCCCGATCTTGCTCAGTTAGTCACGGGTCTGGCTCTACTTCCACTCGATTTCACACTTCCCAGCAAGCCCTCAAATATATATATATACATATGTGAATAGCTATATGTGTGCGTGTGTCTTCCCACCACCAGCTGAAGCAAGAAAGTGGCTAGCAGGGCAATAACCAAGTCGACTCAAGACCAAGACCAAGTCCAAAGCCAAGCGAATGGAAAACAGTCATAACAAAAGTAAACCCTAACCCAAAATTTTCTCACGCGTTCATCTCAATTTATGTGCTCAGTGAGTACATAGAAACGTATAAATATATATATTTACGATCATGTGTGTAAGCCTTATCTGTGTGTGTGTGCAACCCCCTCACGACCTCAACTTGAATCTGAAGCTTTGCGTTGGCGGCTCCGACGTCCGCTAATCTGCACGCGACCACAGTTCCTGCCCAGCTACTTTGTGAGTGTGAGTGTGTGTCAGTGAGTGTGTGAGTGAGTGTATTTTGCAATTGCACTTGGAAATGACAACAACTGTGCTGGCTGTGGCCGAGTGAAGGCTGTGAGAATGCCGCAGAAATATAAATTATGCGCCTGCCTCACGGCATAAACTCTATTAATTAGCGTAGAGCATTAGGCGAGTCATTCCATTTGCATATTTAGTTTGAATGATATGGCAAAAGATCGTGTAATTTCCTTTCTCGCTGCCACTCGCGGCATTTATAGCCAATGTGGGGCTAGAAAGTGCTTCGATTCGGATTCGGATTCGGTTTATTGGTCGTATTTGTATCTATTAACCATGTAGACAGCTCAGATTTGACCAGGGAGGAGTTTGCAGGTCGAAAGCGAAATGCGGCTAATTTGCATGGCTCGAGTAGAGATCGGTTCGAAATACATTTAACGTGGCAGCGGCTGCTGCTGCTGTTGCTGCTGCTTTCCTCAGGTCTAGCAATTTACATGCTAATTATCATAACTTTGCTATAGCCGAGACAACTTCAAACAACTTCAAAGGTAGTCGTTGACCAGGCCAACAACTGAAGGCAGTGCCATAAAGCAGCGATTTCTGTGCCTCGACGAAATTTAAATAAGTGGAAAGTGTTTAAAACTCGGCAAGACAACGCTCTAGCGGCTGCCCGTAAGTGTTTCTCTGTTACCAGACACCGTCAGCAACATCGACTAAATGCTCAGGTCTGCCACTTGCCGAGCCCTCCATCAGTCATCAGTCATCAGCCGGTTCGACAGTCCGACAGTCTGAGGAACGTGCATACGAACAAATTGTCAATAATAGAAGATAGAGAAGAAAACAAAAACAATAAAAACATTAAAATACCTGTACTGCACCCAAATACTTTCGACGCTGTGACAACATTTTCTATTTTTCAACAATGTCTGAGGCGTGTTTCAATGAATTTGTTTCTTTCTTGCTGTCTTTCTTTATTTTCTTTGCACATATTGTTAGACAGCAAGTGTATGTATGTGAGTGTATGTGTATTTCAAGGTGAGGCTCATCTTTTGTGAATACTTTTTTGATAAACGATTTACCTTCAATTTGATTGCTGTTTATATAAAATTCAGTTCTGTTTATTGATATTGCACAAGTAATTATATAAACAAATCTGATTTATAGTCTTGACAAATTTAATTTTGAATTTCCAAGCTATTCTACAAGATTCTGTTGCAATGAAAACCCTAAAGAGATTAAGTAAATTTGTGTAACATCTCTTTAGATTAATTGAATCATATGACAGACTACATCAAATACAATTCTGTAGTCCCATAAAGTCTATATATTTAGAGATGAACACATCTATCTCATTGAATGCATAACAAGTTTCATCACCAATTTGTTAGACCCTCTGAAAGGGCATACAAAGCTGTCTCATATTAGCTGCCTGATTGCTGAGATCATAGCCAAGATGGGAGACAAAGCAGTTGGCGTTTTTTTGTTTTTATTTTTATTGTTGCTTTTGTATCTTAGACTTTTCTAACGTTTCGTGTCGGTCACATGCAGCTAATTAGATGACATGCCAGCTATACTTAGGCAACTGTACCTGTAGCGACTAGCTGTATCTGATGGCTGCTAAAGATGGGGCAAAAATGTTCTCAAGGCGCTAGCTGACTGCAAAGCGCTGGTGACAGCTCGCGGAGGGGCGTGGCCAAACGAAAGACTTAGGCAACAAACTTGAGTGCTGCAGTTGAGTGGCATGCCATAATATACTTACAATTTTTGACTGATGTGTAGCCCTCGGCGGCGCTGCCTGTGCTGCCGCCATTCATGCCCAGGCCCGAGCCGTTGAGCACATGTCCGTTGGATGTGCGTCCCAGGCTGTTGAGCGTGGTGGTGCTGCCGGCACGCGATCTCCAGCCGCCCTGTCCGGCCAGATGATGGTGGCCGTTGCCATGGCCGTTGGCCAGGCCGACGCTGGTGAGGTCGCCATTCGATTTGCTGCCGGCGCCGCTCTTGAGCGTGCCGTAGACGCTGCTGCCGCCGCCGACAGTGCTGCCCGTCTCCAGCTGGCGAGCGTACGAGTTGTCAGCGTAGGCATGGAAACAGCATCTGACTAGAGCATTCGCGGCCGCCTCGCGCTTGCAAATGAAGACGTGGCACTCGAGCACCTTGATGCCGGTGGTGCGACGCAATATGGCTGCAAAGATGGGCGGGTGCTGGGCGCGCGGCATGCGAGCGAATGGCGAGTCCAGCGGCAGAAACTTTGGCTCCGGATTGGAATTGCCGCGCTCCGGTATCAGCACTTGGCGCACCGCGGCGCAGTAGTGCAGCGACTCGATGGGAAAGAATCGGGTGATTTGCTTCAGATTCTCGTCCACATTCTCCAGCAGGATGCCATTCGACCAGACGCTCAGCCAGCTATCGATGCCCTTGGCGCCCACAGCGCCCTCTGACGGGTAGAGGCTGCGCAGCGGCTCCTGTATGCCCTGCAGGCCGTCCTTGCTCTGGCGGGGCACGGCGCTGCCCAGGTACAGCACGCGGCAGCGGCAAATGGGCGTGGAGTCGCCCATTGTCACAGCAGCAGTAGCAGAAGCAGCGACGATAACAAAACAATATGTCTTACGTTATGCGCGTTCTTTACGTAGCGTAGACAACGTAGACAACGTAGGCGCGCACCGAGACCGAGCAATGTGGATTTTCTGGTTTTGCTTTATATGTATGTTAGCCACGTACCTACACACACAGGTATGCCTACCAGTGTGTGCGTGCCTGTGCGTGTGTGTGTGTGTGTGTGTTTGTGCTTTGTGGTGTATTCAAGTGTGGTTCTTAAGCCGTCGCGAGAGAATTTGTGCGCTTAGGTAAGCGGATATTTCTTACACAGCCAGTCGCATTCACTAACAAAGCACGCATACACWTGCAACATCACACACACACACTCTCCCGACCATAATATCAGCGAAAAACACACGCGAACACTTCACAAAACTWGACGGGGTTTTTGTTGTTGTTGTTGTTTTGCTTTTTTTGTGTGTTTTTTTTTTGTTTTAGAATTTTCGCTGGATTTTGTTTCACTTATTTAAATGAATTTCGAATCTCGTTTCACACAGAATCGTTTCGTTTCCGCCCCGAGATGATTCTCTTTGGCACTCACTCACGGACACTTCTCACACGTTCAATCAGGTTGAAAAAACAAATATGGCGTCATGGGATTCTGGGTTTTGCGGTTCCGTTTCGCACACTCCCTTGCGCCTACATAGACCTCAGCTATATAGGCTGTCGATAATGCAACTGAGTTTCAATTAAAAGTCGTTTACTTTCTGCTACAGCTGCCTCTTACAGCTCTGCCTCAGTGTTCGCTTGCTGTCTGCACTCAAAGATATGCGGTCCGCTCGAGACTTGCGATCGCGACGGCGTCTCACAGTGGAATGAATTCCAGCAACGCGAGCGGCGGTCTACGTGGTCTTTTCTGTCTGCCTGTCTACGACTTAACGCTCTACGCTCTACGCTCGAGCCCGTCTCAGGTAGAGAGTACCTGTTGCTGCCCACCAGCTGGAAGGTGCAGTGTGCAGGTAGGCAGGGCGCGATACGAGCACTGTGGATTGCATTGCGAACTTAAGGTATGTTTCACTCGCTCTCCCTCACACACACACTCGTTCTCTCTCTCTGAGTTTTGCTCGCACTCTCAGCTGAATCGGTGAGCAACTATTTGCCGAGAACGATTTCTTTGCAGAGCTAGAGATTACCGGTTTTACAGCTTTGCAGTCAATAATACATGAGTCCATTTTTTGTTTGTCTCGCCAAGCGGACTCGATCAGCCGGCTGAGTTCTTTGCAGATTAGAAACGTCTATAAATTAATGGGCATCGTTTAATATGCTGAGAGGAGAATTTAAAGCAATGCTTGCTATTTTAACCATTACGGCTTTGGCTGTAAAAAAAAATAAATATTTGATGACGACTATATTGGATTAAGAAATTTTCTTCTGATTTATTGAGAGCGCATCTCCTTCTTCTGAAAGAAATATTAAAATTAATATCTACATATTGCCTCAAAGGGCTAAGCGTGTCAAAATATTACTATCTTTGAATTTAATTAAATAAATAATTGATATTATATTGTAATAGTATAATTTAATAAATAGTAATTTCATGTTGAATCGCTTACAAATTATAGGGTAGTTTTGCCTCAACCAACTAACACCTCTTGTTGTGGTTTGTGTCTTCACTAAAAACGCTATGCGCAGTGTTTGCGTCTTTGATAGATCGCTTGACTTTTGTGAATTTCCAACACTGTTTGCAGGCATAAATTTTAAATGGACTCTAGTGCTTGAATATATGTATTATTAAAAATCATCAATAATATTTTTAGATCCTCAATGTATATATATAATTTTATTTTACAAAAATTTCCGAGACAATCGAACAATGCAGATTCAGGTACGTTCTGTGTAACAAAGATGCAGTCTTATCTTAGCCTTGTCAAAATTAAAGGAAGTATAATTTTGAGGGTTTTGTAAAAGCTCTACTTAGCATGAGTAAATACACATATTATTTATCACATATTTTGTATTAATTAACAATGCAATAGTATTCTTACTTTACAAGCGATTACTGCAATTATATTATGAATCAATAACCTTTCGTTTCGGCTATTCAATAATTATTTAAGTGTTTTACTCACGTGTAATATATTAATTGTTAGAATGAATAATAATCTAGCTGGAAACTCTCAAGCCCCATTTATATTTTTATGTAAGGATTGGTACTTTTATTGTGGCTAGACTAGGGCTAAGACAATAAGTTTAATTTAAAGAGATTAATTCTCATTTAATTCATTTAAGTACACACAATTCTACAAAATTCTTTATTTATATATATGTATTTTATTATAGTCATATATAGTATATCAGTCAGAAATTTACATTTTAATATGTTTGTAGACATATTCACATATCTCGTTGATCAAACATTGGGGGATTTCAAGTATCTAATGCGTGCCAGTTGACAGCAAAAAAAGTACATCAAATATTGTCCACTTTATCGGGCTTCCCATTTGTGGAATTTCCAGTAAGCAATGAAAAGAAGTTTAGGGAACGAGCCCCAATTAGACAGCCGCTCTGCTGCATGGGTGGAGATTAATATCTGGGGAAGTTATGAAAGCAGCTACAAATATTTCATTTTAGCTCAATTAGAAAACATGTTACCTGGATGTATCTTTATTAAAAAAAAAAAAATAATAATAAAATAAAAAAGTTTTTCAGAACGTAGCTGAAAGAGAGAGTGTGACAAGTGTATGTGTGTGTGTGTGTGAGAGAGAGAGAGAGAGAGAGTGGGAGTATTTGCTCACTGGGGGGTTTCCTGGAATTTAATCGCTTGGCCCACTCGCCCACTGCCAGACTTGGAACCAATTGACATTCTGGGTAATATCAAGTCTATGATCAGTTCGCGTTGTACGCACGTGCTGCAAATCTGTTGTCCAGTTGAGAACAACATGATCTCGGAGGCGGGTAAATTATCATGAATGCATTTTAATAAGCAGCTAACACAGCACGCGAACACCAGGTACAAAAGCTCGGCACACGTCGAGACGCGGCTCATTCACAGTTTAGCGCCCGAGTCGAGTTAAAGATCAACAACCCATCGCATAGATTGACGTTACTTACGGAACTCTTCTTGAATACTTGTAAAGGATGCGACTATTAATGGGCGGCTTGGGCCTAATACTATTGGCCATGCCTTCGCTGGTCTTGAGTCGTAAGTAATCTGAATAGGCGTTCGGCTATCTGAGTCATATGACAGAACAAAGCTGAACAAATATGATCTTTGTTTAAGTCTAACCAGTTAAACGAGTTATGATTCGGTTGGCCAGCTTATCACATCACTGAAGCAAACGTTTGATTTTATTTCAGAGACGGACAACAGATGTTACACCCCCAAAGGCGAATTGGGCAACTGCGTCCCATTCCAGGAATGCCAATTCGTGCTGGATGTGCAGAACAGATATGGCCGCAATGTGCCACGCTCGATACAGAACCAGATCAGGCAAATGGCTTGCAATGTGGGCAAGCATTCGGTAATTAGCCATTACAATATTAACTAACTTGACCTGTACTAATTAACTCAATTGCCCGTAGACAATTCATTTGTGCTGCCGCACCACGTCTGCGATCACTGCTCAGAGCGCTAGTAACGGCAATAGGGATTCTATAACGAGAACGAAAGCCCCATTGAGCACGCGCCAAACTAATGCCAATCTGCGACGCATTGATTCACGTGGCTTGGAGCTGCTCAACTCGATTAAGGATTGCGGCAAGAAGGCCAACACGAAGCTAAGCGGCGGAGAGATTACGAAAATCGGGGAGTTTCCTTGGATTGTGTTGCTGAAGTATGAGACCTTCGGACGACCTTTTCTGTGTGGTGGCAGCTTGATCTCCGATCGTTTTGTCCTAACCGCCGCGCACTGTGTGAAGGAAAGCTCTTTACCGTAAGTCTCATGGTCCACATTCCGCTGTCCAATTTACTTACCGTTGCTCCACAGTATTGCAGTGCGCATGGGCGAGCACAATTTGGATACGGAAGAGGACTGCCAATTTCTTGGCGGACGGCGCAAGGAGTGCTTGCCACCCTACGAGGAGTATGGCATCGAGGACATACGCGTGCATCCCAACTACGTCGATAACAACATCAACAATGACATAGCCCTGATCAAACTCGATCGGCCCGTTCAGTTCAAATCCCACATCAAGCCCATCTGTCTGCCCATTGATCGCCAGTCGCAGGATATAGCATACGATCAGAGCTTCTTCATCTCGGGCTGGGGTCGCACCGAAGACAACCGCCCATCCTCAGTGCTACTCAAGGCGGTGATAAGGCGGGAGGACTTGAGTGTTTGCCGCAATTACTATCCCGGTGCTCCGGTTAGCGAGAATCACATCTGCGCTGTTGGCGATGGCATCTTGCACACCTGCCGCGGCGACTCGGGCGGTCCACTCTTCTTCCGCAACTCTTTCAAGAACACGGTGCGATATGTCCAGTACGGCATCGTCTCCTATGGCGGCGCCCGCTGCGGCAAGCGAGAGAACCAGCCAGGCGTTTTCGCCTCTGTCCTGGACATGTTACCCTGGATCACACAGAATGTATATTAAGGACACGCCTATCTTATAACATCTCTTATACTCATTATTATTTATTCGTTAGCTTAGCTCTCAATGCCATTGCAATAGTCACACTTTGAGATTATTGGTCGTAGCTGTTAGTCTTTTACAATATACATATATAAATATAATGCAGAATGAAAATGAAATATTTCGTGTTACTTTCTATCTTTGTTGCGGAAATTGAGCCCTCTTCAGAAGTTTAAATGCTAAAATGTTTTGTCTTGTCAGTAGCCTATAGAATGATAATCTTGCAGAACGCATGACTCATTCCCCTCAGCTCTCTTAAATGATACGTATATGGAATAATACAAATTTATGCGTAATATCTTAGACTATAAACTCCCTGCGGTCAAGAAATATTAAGCTTTAGCCAAAAGCTTGTCATTTCTTGACTCTAATTAGGTATTTAAATTATGCTCGCTTCATGTTAATAAAAATTTGTTAGGAAATAATACTTTCAAAAAATTAATATTCCAATCGAGGAAAATTGATGATAAGGAAAATAATAGAAGATTTTTGTTTAATGTTCAGCGTTAAAAAAAAGACACAAATACAAACATGGAGCAAAGATAATCTCTTTTCATATCGTAAACGAGTATAATTATGGGTTAGATTTATATATAAAATATGTTAATATTTATGCAAATACGGCTTATCTAATAAATGCCGCTCAAACACATATGTTAAACACCTTGTTATTGCAAACACTATAGTGGCGTCATGACTGGCCGCTATTCAGCTGAATTCGCCGTAATAATTATTACTTGATCAAATCTAGAGCTATGAGAAATTTGAATCACCAGAAAAATCCAGAGAATATAATGTACGCCCATTATTAATAAATTTATTATGGGCAAAAAGATTTGCTACTTTAGTCAATCAAAAATTACTGAGATTGTGGCAAGACCATAGCAAGCTTAAACAAAATTATTGTATTTGATTTACTTACTTCATTTTGTTGAGTACCTTAGATCAACGAAGAAGAAGAAGAATTGTGAATTTGTCTGTGGTCAACTAACCGCAGTGCTAATAAATTTATTGCCATTTTATATCGAAAGGGTACATCACCGATTTAATTATGAGTTAATCTCCACCTCGCTGAAGACAGTTTATTGTGCTATTATCATAAGCTTGCATGATTCATGTCGATCGTGAATCGGGAATGGAGCCCGCCCTCAACTAGCCTCGCAAGTCTTTTGCCCTCCCTGATAACTTTTGCACGTCTATATGAAATCGTATTCTGATTCAGATTGGATTTTATAGCACTGAATCACTCAAGTGATTGCTTGGATATGCATTGATTGCCAACTAAGTATATCTTAGCGACTTAATATTGCGTCTAGTTATAATTGCAATCACTTTAATGAAATGTAAAAAATTTCACAATTCTAACAGTATTACGTTAGCTATACGGTTATAGTCGGGGAAGCCCTGGGAAATTAATCTTTATTTTCTAGTGCTCAATTGCAGTGCATATTGAAATTGTATACTCGACTAAGACAAAATTAGAATCTAGCTTAATCTAGTTTGGATAAAGCTGCACTGTATCCGGTACTGCAATTTGAATAATTTATACATTTATAGAAATACGCCTCAAATCTCATACAAAACATTTTCTGCAAAGCAAAAAGTAGTGAAATTGCACTTTAGATATGATGTACGTATTTACATATGAGTACGTAGGTATGTATAAATTATAAATATATTTGGATTAAAAAACATGTTCTCAATATCTTGTCGGCCAAATAGTTTCCTAACATTTTCATAAAGACCTCTCTCTGTTCATAGAGAGAAACAGAGAATTCAGGCTATTTCAACTGATTTTATACAGGAATATATCGCATACCGTATACTCTATCGTTCCCTAGATGTCTTCTATGCAATACATGTTTCGTGACAAAAGTAAAATACCCACTAGTTCATTCATTCACAAGGCAAAGGGCTAAATTGATTTGAATTAGGAACAATGCGTAGATCTAATCTGAACTAGACTTTTCCTTTGTATTGCGCCGTGTGGTCAAATATACAAAAAATCAAAACAAAAGTTGGCCTGTGGCTCACAACAGTTTCGACTTTGGTAGCGAACGTTTCGCAGACAATGCACTGGATTAGTCTTTTGTCACTGACACTGAAGGGGTAAATTATATAGTATATTATATAGTATATGTGTTTGGTATTGAGACCAATTATATAATAAATGAATATAACCTATTTTCAAAATAGGTCGCTCTATTTGGGTACACTTTATATATCGCTGACGTTCATAGTGCCCGTGACCAAGTCTCTGGTGGAGAGCTACTTCGCCACATCCGTGTCCTTCAACTTGGATACCATTTAGTGAGTTGAAATGTCAAAGGACAATGTAGAGAGTTTACTCAATCCCATTTACAGTCTCAATTGGAATACTTCGTTTCCGGCCATTACCGTTTGCGAGCTGTACAACTCGGAAAAGATTTGGGACACGAGCGATTCGCTCTTTGGCATAGAGCACGACTTCCACATCGATGACTTTGTCGGCGAAATTGCCTTCTTCAGAGGCATCTGCACTAGCTGTGAAATGTGCGAAAAGGTGCAATGCCCAGACAACTTCACACAGCTGCTGGATGTGGTGGGATACAAGAACTGCGCAAGCTCTCGCTTTCTCTCTGTTTAAAGACTTTTCTTTCAGTTTCGCAGCAAGTGCCATGAGCTTATTGTCGAGTGCCAGTACCTTAACAATATCTTCGACTGCTGCGATCAGTTCCTGCCCATCCTCACGGAGTACGGCGTCTGTTACACCTTCAACTCGGTCCAGGCGCGCAAAGTAGCCCAGGTGCAGTTCAAGAACAATCGCATGACTGGAGCCGGCAACCTTAAGTTTCTGGCCACGGCGGATATTCAGGTAAACGTGCATGCACCCATCGATGTGCCATACCTCTTCTCTGAGGGCATGATACGCGAGACAGTCCTGCTGGGCAACAACAAGGAGCTCATCTTGAACGTCATCGAGGTCTACAATCACGAGAGCGTCGAGGAGCTGAACTATGAGCAGCGCCGCTGTCGCTACAGTCACGAGCACCCTGAGCAGCGCATTGGGATTTACGAGTTTTACAGCTTCTCCGGCTGCATTGTGGAGTGCACCGTGACCCTGCAGCTGCTCTACTGCAACTGCACCAGCCACTTTATGGCTGTGCCCAGCAAGAACTCGTTGCCCATGTGCGACTACCAGGGCTTGATCTGTCTGACGGACATCCATGACAGACTGGTCGCTGAGCGCAAGTCCTGTGACTGCATGAGCTCCTGCGAGGAGCCAGAGTACAACATTATATACAATACAGCCGATGAGTAAGTGCCTTGAACTAATCAAACAAATGTAACATGAATAACTATATATTGTATTGCAGCAAGCAGGATTCTGAGAAAGATTTCTCGGATATTCATGTGGCACTGGTGGAGCTTCCCACGCAACGCTATGTGAGGCGGGTTTCAAAAACTTTTCTGGACTTGTTGAGTGAGTGCAAGAAGTGAACCTATCACTGGCTATCCACTAACTGTTCCCCTTTTCAGTCTCTTTCGGTGGTCTAATTAGTCTCTTCTTCAATCTCTCAGCGTTACGCGTCGTAGAGGCAATATTTATGGGCCTGGAGTACCGCAGAGAGGTGTTGAAATGGTCAAATCGAATATTCGTTGGCACACTCAAATATTTAAAGATTTTAATCAAGTTAAAGTAAATCACAAAATGTTTTCATTCATTTATAATCTGTCTTCCGATTGGGCAAGTCCTAAGTGCATAACACATGTATATCGATTTCTCCTGTATGGGGTGATTCTAGTCTATGGTGTGGGCCATGTCTTACATGCTGCTGATTCTCTGCGGCACATATGTCAGATCATCCACCTTACTGGACGCAGCTGCTGGCCTTATAATCTCAATCAGCGTGTCCATATAGCTGGGCAAATAGACGCAGCTCGAGAATACCAAGAGGACAAACATCAACAAGAAGATTCCATCTGCGTATACATGAGAAATGGGATTATTTGAAAAAAACGTTATCTAGCCTCACTTACTGATTAGCTTCTTCTCCCATGGCTCGAACATATTGATGCAGGTGACCAGCTCATATTGCCGATATAGATGTGCGGCAGAATCCTTTAAATTCCACATTTGAGCTATGTAAATACTTTTCAAGTATTAAGTAGAGACTTCACAGGTGTGACACAATCAGGTGACTTTAACTTCTAACAAATTTACTTGAAAGAGTGCTAAATACGACTTATAAGTATTTCATTCGATTCGCTTAAGCATTTCATTCGATTCGCTTAAACATTTTATTGTTATTAAATATTAAGCCAGCTGTTTTGCCAGTGTGACCGTTGCTGTATGCCAAATAGCCCACTCAGTGTTGCACAGCTTGCTCACTTGAAGTTTCATAGCAATCAGCTATTGTGCAACTACTGCGGTTTGATTGGCGCCTTTAGATATACAAGTTTAAAAAGTGACTTTTGGATATTAATACATTAAAATGTAAATAATAATAAATATTAGTTATAAATTCGAATTAATATAAAATTGAAACTAATTTTAGAGCCGGCTTCGGCTTTAATTACTAAATAAGAAAAATGTAGTATATTACAGTCTATTGAATATATAGAAATCATTTGATAAAATTAAAAGGATTTACTTTTAGCTTTCTTTATATATCACATAAAGTTCAAGATACTAATGCAAATATTTATCCACTTCTCCAGCACCTGTCCAAAGCTGTCGAAACAACTCAGTTAATATATCGATCTAAGGCTCGCAACCGGAATACCTGAAAAGAATGTGTATGATGTCGAGATGCGCATTCAGAATCCAAACTGACATTGAACATTGCGAATTAGTATTATTAATTGTAAGTTGCATTTAATTGCGCTCAGTTCAAGTGAAATTTGTTGTAACTTTTGGTGACCCAAAACAACACAGCAATATTTCATGATTCAGAGTCAAGAGTCTAGACCAATTGCCCATGCTATAGATAAATTTGCCTTTGAACAAACGTCTGGACCATCTTCGCGTAGCATGGCCGGCTGCAAGGCAAAACAGGATTTCGAGGCATTGCGCCATAATTTGCACTGCGAAACTAGCACACTGCTCCGCAACAGCTACATGTGGCCAGCTGTATTGGCCCGAGCACTTGCCAAGAGCTACGTTGGCCATGACGACGAAGACGACGACGACGACGACGGCGACGACGCTATCAATGCTGCCGTTGCGGATTGACAGGCGAGCAGTGGCTTGATTTATGCGCGCGGCAGAGGAATGTGGCAAAGTGTAAAAAATGTTTACACTCACACTCACTCTCACAGAGAGACAGACTCACATAGCGACACCCAGTCTCAATCTGTGTCTAAGGCGAGTCCAGACCAGACCAGGGCAGACCGAGTCACGCATATGCAGCGACAACTAATTCAATTTCCACTTGCCAGCCAGCCAGCCAGCCAGCCAGGCAACCAAGTGGCGAACATGGCGGCTGTTTAGCCAAGTGTGCACGCCTAATTGGTAATGCGATCGGCTTTATTGAGGCGCAGGCGCAGGCGCTGTAACTGAGACTCTGGCCATAGTTGAATCAGTTGCAGGCTATCGTTGTCGCTCAGCGTAAATCCCATTACGTGCAATCCGTTTCGAGCCATAAACATGTTGCTGCAGCTGCACTGCCAGCACCACCGCCACCACCACCACCTGCTCTGACCCATAGCTATCCTGGCTTCCAGCAGCGCAACTTGTCGCTCGAACTTAATTGCCTTGGTTGCGCTTATGACTCTCGTGTGCAATGCATCCACTCCACATCCACATCCACATCCACATTCACATCAGCCCATCTCCTTTGTTGTTGTTGCTATTGTTGCCGTTGTCTGCGGTGCATTATTAGAAAGTAACTTGCAAAAAGCTATCAGCATCAGGCTCGTCGTCATCATCATCATCATCATCGTCATCATCCTTGCGCTTATCGTTATGGCTCCACCGGTTGTTGGCGCTATTTTCGACACCGCTTTGGCCTGCCATAAATTGCCAAATGCCAACATCACGGGCCCTGAAATGCACTCGACGCGCTCTCAGCCGCAAAATTAGAAAAAGTCGGTTGGCTAATTTAGTGAGCAGCTCCAGTCGGGAGACTGCTTGCCTGGCTGCCTTCATGAAAGTCCATTTTCCATTTTGTACGGTTTTCAATTAAAGCAACTGAAGCAACATGCGACTGCCACGACCTCGCGCGCCCAAAGTTCAGGCCAAAGCCAAAGCCAGAGCTGGAGCCTGTGCCTCTGCTGTGCCACTGCCTGTGCCTGTACCTGTACCTGTACCTGTGCTCTTACCTGTGCCGCGCAACTAATTCCGCAACACCGCAGCGACGATGACAGCGAGCGATAGCGAGAGCCAGGAATGAGCTGCAGTTGCCCAAAAGATAATCTAATTTTTGGTTGGGTGCCAAACGGACGCGCAGTTTGCATTATTGTTCTGAGAAATTGTTATTAATTGAGTTGTCCAGCTGCTGCAGGCGAAAGAGCTGCCCAACTTGGCCAGCCCCGTGGGTGGTCCGTGGCCTGACAAATATTGAGCGCCAACCATTTGCCCAACTTAATTGAGATTGGCCATCAATAAGCCGCAGACAGTCGTGGCTCGCCTCGTGCGCGCCGCGAATCGCGCCATTTGGCCCAGCGGCTCATTTGCATATGCTTAATTTATGCCCATCAATTAGCTGATTAATTTATTTGGCGTGAGATGCTCGGCGAACGCTCGGGCTTAAAACGCTTGTCTAATTAGATAAATGCGCTACATTAATGTGCCGCGTCTGACATTTATAAAGCGTTGCCTCCGACCTCGATTAACTACTGGGGAAATTTCGCAGTTAGTTTCAGATGGAGATATGTGGAGCCGGGCTTAGTTATTAGTTATTATTTGGTCGACTGTCTCTTCCCAGGCACTAGATCTATGTGGATCTGTGCCACTCAATTCCCACCCAAATTAGCTTCAAATACTCCTTTTATAAATGCCACCTGTCCAACAAACACGGACATGGCTCGATCTCAATCCGGCTCTTGGCCCGGCCGACTGTCCGCTAACAGATCGAGGGAAATGGCAAAATATTTTAATTAAAATACAAGTAAACGTTTACTGTAAGCGATGTTATCCGTTCCGCCAGAGAGCTGCTATCCACAATGCACTGCATTGCATTGCTATTGCTATTGCTATTCCTATTGCTATTGCCATTGGCTTGCATTGCTACCGGCTGCGTGTCTGGCGCTAGGTGGCTGAGCTGAGTGAGTGCAGCAAATGCTGCAATTGTTGCATGCAACAACATCAACATGTGTCGCACAGCGCCTATTTGAATATATATCAAATCAGTTTAAGATAATTTTCTATAACAGCTACTCGCAACACGGCAAATCGCGCACATTTATACATTGGCAAGTTTGTTGCCTAAGTCTTTCGTTTCGCCCGTCCCGATGCCACTCGGCTGACAGGCCGGCTGGCTGCCTGGCTGGCTAGCTAGCTGGCTGGCAGTGCATATTTTACGCGCTGCATTGTTGCTAACGTTTCGAGGCTCGAAATTAAGTTGTTTTGCATAAAAGCACCATAAAAAGTCGCATGGGTAACGCATGGCCGGCAGCCAAAGGAGGCAGCTACAATTGTGATTAGAACGACACGACAGGCACGACATGAGCGCAGGGCACGGACAGAGTGGACAGAGCGGACGGCGCTGGCACACCAGACAACAAGACATATGACGCTGTTGCTCTATACCAATATGGACAACAATTGCCTCAGCAACAGCAGCAACTGCAACTGCAACGTAGACGACGACGACGACGAAAATTGGCAAGTCAAGTCAGACGTATGTCAACAAATGGCAATGCCATTAGCGGCCAATCCGGCCGAGGCTACACGAGATTTTGGCTTCCTGTTGCTGCTTGTAGGCAAATGCTAGGACAGCAATTCAGGCTGCCGATCGCCAACAGCCTCTGTGGCAGCAGCAGCAGCAGCGGCAGCTTGTTGCAACTATTATCAATTTAAGTTGGCTAATTGGTTTCAAATTTATGGACCTGTATTTGATATTTATGTCGTCTGCTAAGAGCAAGCGGCCAAGGCAGCAGCGTCTCAGTCTCAGTCTCAGTCTCGGTCTCAGCCTCAGCCTCGGTCTGTGGCTGCAATTTTTGCCCGGTCGCCTTGCCATTGCCGTGGCATGCTGCAAACAACGTAATTGGCTTTCAATTTGCAGCAAATTGTTGCAACAGCCACGACAACAACGAAAAGCAGCGCAGCGCAGCGCACAGCGCGCTATAGCGAAACATATTTAGATTATAGACGGATAAAGTTTATGTACGTTCTGTTCTCTCTTGTCCGCAAGACAAGTTTCTGTTGCGCCTTGCCTCACCTGGCGCGCCCTGGCTCAACCTGGCTGGGTCCGGCCTCGCCTCGTTTTGGCCTGGGTGCTGGCTGGGGTGGACGTTTGCAGCTCTTGCCATTCGCTTCTTCCATAATTCCAATGAGTTATATGGCCATCATGTGCACTCGGGACCCTTCAAACGTTCAAAACGTAGCGCGCGTTAATTAAAAAGCCAACAACAGCAACAACTACAACAACAAGAACAGCCACAACAAAAGCGCCAAAAATGCTGCTAAATTTTGCGCTGCTCCAGCGGACAAAAAAGGGCGGCCGACTGGGCTTAGCTGTTCAATAACTAAATAAAACACTCAGCCGACTCGAGTCGAAAAGCCGCCGCCGCGTCGATCGTCGCGTTTGCTTCACGACAGCCACAATCAAGCGAAAATTCCAGGCATTTTCTGCTTCATTAACAACGCACAACGCGGCCAGTTCGTTTTGTTCGAAATTTACGCACACACACACACGCATGCAGACACACACATACACAGTCAGCCGAGCTCTGTGGCTCAGCATCATCTCTGAAGGTTGAAGCTGGGCCACGTCCAAGTCGAGTCCGTTCAGCAATTGAGCTTAGTTTGGTTTTCGGCTTTGTTTTTTTTTTTTTTTTTTTTTTGGTATTTTAATTAGAAACCGAACAACGCAAAATGCATTGCTCTTTGGCCATTTCGCTTTCTTTCGAGCCTTTCGGCCGTTCGATCCACGCGAGGCCGCGCTGCCAGCCTCAGCTCGCTGCTCGCAGTTCGCAGTTCGCATTTCGTTTTCACATTCAATTAGCGCATATTTCAAATGCGGACGCTGCGAATATTTCTGTTATGCTACAGGAAATGGCATCGATAGAAGTTCGATTCGAAGTCGAACAGAATAACTATAAAATTGATATTGTAAAGATGTC